CTAGATAAAACCTTAGTATATATAGACTTATATAAATAATATTTTAAATTAAAATAAATAATCAGTAGATAAGGAGATATTATAATCTATTTATTTTTTCTCTTTGATTCTTTCTTCCCCCTTATGTCGTGTCACCTGTACTAGAGTTGAAGGCCCTTCAGATCAGTAAATCTAGCCTTCAATATGTGCCAATTCAATAAACTTTCTAATAATAGATCAACGTGGCCAGTACCCCGTATTCGGCATCACGTGGATGGTCAAGGCGGTTGGGGTCAGCGGGCTTGGCAGGCAACCAGGCTGACCTCATCACTTTCCGTTCATGTAGCCACTCCTTCAGTTTGTCAACTTATAGGAGTGCCCACCACCATCAACATCTTTGGGCGCTCGATGATTTGCCTCCTTTATTATTTTTGAACAATGGTGAACTTTCTTCAGAGACTAACCATTGCTACAAACATATCACCCTTGCCCTGTTTCCGCAAATCATGGTATTGTTCTGAGCAGCCTGCTATGTCTGTTTCATCCCGCCATCACTTATCCACCAGTCCACAGGCTCTCCATGAGGAATTCTTTCGGAATACCTCACGACGATGGATGTATGTTAGGTCTATTATGGCTTTGTTCTCAGCTGCTGATTGCTAGCCAGATTCAACGAGGCCGACCGTTTAAACGAACGATACGTCAAGTTTCGACCAACAGAACTCCAACGGATCGCCGGTGAAGCAATGCAACAAGACTACTGCCCTGATATCACTAAGCTGGCAGAAGGAGGTTTCAACAAAGTGTTTATTCTGCGAGCAAAGAATGGTCGTGAAGTGATTGCGCGAATTCCCACACCCATTGCCGGGCCTGCTCATTACACAACCGCGAGTGAGGTTGCCACGATGGACTTTTTGCGAACTGTTCTCAAACTGCCGGTACCGGAGGTCTTTGCATATTCAACAACGTCGGACAATCCTGTCGGAGCAGAGTATATTCTGATGGAGCGGGTTGAGGGGGAGAGTCTTTCCTCACGGTGGTTATCTCTCACAACTGACGAGGTGAAAGACATCATGACTCAGATTGCAGATATAGAAAGGAAGCTTTTTGACTTCCGTTTTCCTGCGTACGGAAGCTTATATTACAAGAAGGACCTTGACTGGAAAACCCAGATACCAATCGTGGAAGACTTTGTTGTTGGCCCTGTGTCTACCCGGCAGTTTTGGCATGGCGAACGAAGCAAAACAGAAATTGACCGTGGGCCCTGTAGGTTTTTCCCCTTTCTCCCTTCCCCCTTTATTCTTGGTTTCTTAGAAAAAGAACCGACAGGAGCTGGGCTGATCATTCCTGTAGGGCTTTCACCCTTGGACTGTGTTACCTCTGCAGCTCGCCGAGAGATGGCTGTCATTCAGCGTCACGCCAAAACTCAGCCTCGACAGACATTCCTTCTACCAACTAACGATAACATTCATCCCTCTGAGCACACCTTGTTACTTTCGCAATTCCTACAGTTGGCGCCTCATTTAATCCGACCAGGTTCTTACAGTGCTCCGACGCTAAGGCACCCCGATTTGAGCCTGAGCAACATTTTATTGGCTCCTGGATCATCCAAAATCATCAGTATCATTGATTGGCAGGATGCCACAATATTACCACGCTTCATGCAAGCAGGGTATCCCGCGTTTTGTGATCACGACTACTCTCAGCCTCAAAGCCTGGAGATTCCATCCCTCCCCGATGATTTCGATAAGATGGGTATCGACGAACAGAGACAAATCAAAGCCATGTTTCGCTTAGAAGAGGCCAACCTCTACTACACAGCGGCGACAGGTGTACACAACGAGGAACACATGAATGTGTTGAAAATTCCTCATCTCGGAATGCAGCAGTATCTCCTTCGCCAGACAGGGTATCCCTGGGATGCAGACGTAATTACGCTACGTGCTGCGTTAGTAGGCATCACGACACCATCGGTATGGAGCAAAATTTCCTCGGCAGCTTGTCCGGTTGTGTTCAGCGAAGAAGAACGAGCGGCAGCTATAGTGGAATCGCAGGAATGGAACGAGTCTGAACAGCTCTTGTCGCGGGTTAGAGCACACCTCAATATCGATCTGGAAGGCGGGACCGAGCCGGACAACTTTGAGAGGGCAGCGGAGGGCAATCGCCAGTTTCGAATGGAAATGGTTAGGCAGGCAGAGGCGGACCAACAGGAGATCTGTTGGCGTAATTGGCCATATAAGGATCAAGAGGACAATAGCATGCCTCCTCAGATATAATTATGGTGCGCTGCAACATCAGCTTCAATGTATTCTAGTGGTCATCTGAATCTGCGAAATGGTCCTAAAGGCTGGGGATTGTCTATTCGGCCGTCCACCAAGGGAATCTATTTGTTCTCGATAACGGCCATGAACCCTAATGGAATGGGCATAAGATGCTAGGAAACAGCGTGATGCAATGCGACGCAACGCCCAAAATAAGGCCACTGAAAATAAAGATGGCAGGCAGAGCTTGGTGCTGAAAACAGCTTCACTACCACTTGGAAGAGGAATTCATGACAGTTATGGAGTGGACTTGGGAATAATGAGAGACATAGGAGGGTTAGTGTGGCAGGCATGACAAAACAGCACCCAGCTCAGACTTACAGTGGTGCTGCTGGTTTAGTGCTAACTAGTTTTGAACTCACCCAAACTTGGACCAAATGCAACTCCATCCTGGAGATGAAGAAAGTATTCCTGGCGGAGACTCTCTGAGAAGGCTCCACTCAATTAACAGTACCTTACAGTGTAGAAGTATGATTGGCCTGTTTCTACTCCTTTCTCCACTTTAGAGTGCTATTTGAGTCTATGTGTAATTTAACATACTAGATACTCGCTCACGCAAAACTGAAATCAAACATGTTTGCTGTGCACATGTTGAAGAAAGTCCATGTGAGATCTCTTCGATGCAGACTTTTTAGCCTTCTTAAACACGCCCAATGCCAAGCTGCCACCGCAAATCTGAGAGGCGTCACCCTCGCATTTCATATCGCATTTGTTTGCCGCGATCTTAGAGCTGCCTTCTAAATTGTCACCACAGAAGCATTGGCCAGCGTACTCAGTGCCTGCTAGGCTAAAGCCTGCATTTCCGCAATACTCCATACAGCCAGTTGAAGTCACATTGCCGATGCCCAGATCCGCGAATTTGATCCCAGTGAGCGCACGAGTAGACCTATTGTCGGAATAGCAGCCAAGATATGACCAGCCGATGATACTGCTTTCTGTAGTAGAGACTTGAGTAGGTGTGGTAGACAAGGTCTGAGATGCAGACAGTATGCTGGTGGTAGTCGATGTACTTTGTGGATCGGATGAACCAGAGGATGCGCTCTCGCCTTGACCCCATCCAGTTGGGGGATTGTTGCCTGGCAGCTTCTCGAGAACACCGGAAATCTTCTCGGGGACCAGGTTGGCGATGTTGCAGCTGTCGGAAGAGTCGTTGATTGTGCCAGCGTCGGCGCACTTGTCCATGCCCGAATCGCCGGCATCACAGTTATCAATAATCTTTTGCAAGACGTCCACATCCCAGCCAGAGATCTAGATAAACTTATTAGCTATAGTACCAAGGACTCATCAGGATAAAAAACCCACAAAATCCCCGTGAAGAGAGTACCCAGTGCGGTCGCCATTTGCCAGAATAAAAGGTTGCGTGCCCTTCCCTTGCTCCCACATGTCCACAAACAAAGGGGTGTTCCAGTAAACTTCGTAGAAGATATGGGGGAGGTGAATCCATCCTGGCGGACAATTGGCTTTGCCCCCTGTGGTTCCTTTGCTGCTCGGGAACACCATATTGTTCTCGAAGTCATCCAGGCCAGCCTCGGGGTTGTAACAAGAAGGAAAGTGAATATCAGCACGCAGAGGGGATGCATATCTGTCACAGTTCATATGCGGGAAGCCAGCCCCAGCCCCAGCATTATTCGGGTCTTGAATCCCAACACCATGCAATCCATCGGAATCTGCAGGATACGAGGGAGGATCATAGGAAGTCCGTGGGCATGTCCACTGAACCGGTTGAATGACGCCTTTATTCGTGTCCAGGACATTGGCAGCTCCGCCTGGTGGGGGAGTTCGAAGGCTGCTGTTCCCACTGACCATGCGGAGGCCGACAGGGAAGGCTTTGATATCATCATCGGTCGGTTCGAAACTGTTCTTTGTTAGTTGGCAACTTGATTTCTCAAAAATGCGGGACTTGAAGGCTACGCACAAGTAGTAGACATTCATGTAAAACATGGGAACTGAGATGAAGCTTCCATTTGTGGGATCCTGGAAGTATAATGCCGGAGTCCAGTAATTGCTCTTGTCCGCCGCCACGCGGGAAGAGGTGCAACGTGAGTCCAACAGATCATTGTTACCCATGGTCAAATTGAAGTTACTCCCCCCCTGGATCGCGTGCACATGACTGGATGCAGTACCGGGACTGATGATGGGATCCATACGGCCGATTGTTAGCGGACCCTTGCCATAGAAGTGGTTCACAGCGAATGTTCGAGAGTCCTTGGCAAATGCTGTTGCATAAAGGGCAGCAAACTGAATAGCTGTAGCTTTGAAATGCATCTTTGTATAATTCAGTCAAAGTACACTGTGAAATCAGTGAAAAGAAAGACAGCGGGTAGTACTGTAAGGAATGTCAGGGAGGAAAAATGAATGAACCTCATGAGTAACCAGACCCATGCGAGAAGTGAATGGAAGGTTGTGGGGAGAATGTAAGATGAGGGTCCTGTTTTATATATTTTCAAATATCCCCTATCATGATTTCCCGGTTGAATTTGTTGACGATAGATGAAGCTCGCTCGGCAGTTTCTTTCGACGCGGGAAGTTAGATGTCAATCGTATTTCATCTAGGCTTCAAGCCCGAAGCTCTGCGCTTGCTGTGTGAGTGGGTTATTTCATGTTGTTAAATTAGCATTGTGATGACAGGGGCAACGCCACCAAGATTTTGGGTTAGCCTGCTGATTCTCAAGCGCCATCGCCTGGATCCTTTGAGACCAGATGCTTAATATCCGTGTCAGGCACACCCACACCGTGGAAGCAGTGTGGGTGTGCCTGACACGGATACTACGTAATGATAAGTCAAGGTTATGAAGATGTCTCGGGAGCAATTAACTTGAAACAAGGGTCTCCTTTACTCAATTCGAGGAATTGCCCTTTTGGGTACTAAGCAAAACAGGATCTTGGCATGGATCAGTCAGGTTTACTGCCAACGCTTCTTTGTCTCGGGCGCCCAAAGCCGATTCTTTCAGGTCGCTCCGCTTCTTGAGCCTGCTGTGGATAGGACCAACTGCATCCGCGCCCAAGTCTATGAGCAGATCAGGCAATGTGAGCAGGCGGAGGAACGGTCGAGCCAGGTCATCACCACCCTTCATGACTATGGTGAGGCCAACCCTTGGTTAGAAAAGACTCCATGGCGTGACTATACCCAGGGCTATACCTTCACGGAATTAGCCGCACTCGCATATATGCCCGATCTCATGCAAGAACCCGTGTTACGGGCAAGAAGAATATTGTCGGTTTCTTGCTTACCCCATACTTTGGCGCACCCCTGAACCCCAGGTTCCGCCAGATTCGCAGTGTGATCAAGCAGCGGCTCTTCAATGTTCGCAATAGCCTGGATATCGACGGCCGTCCCATCACATACGCGCTCACCGAGCCCTCCATCGACCCAGGGGCCCTCGTAGCGCTCAGTGCAGCGGGATTTGACAACGCCAGTGCGTCGGCCATGGTCATGGGTGATCGGGACTCTCCACTCCCACGTCAGCGCTTCGATGTCCTGATTCATCGAGCGCTGGAGCTCTGTGGAGAGGTTCGGGCTCTCGGCGAACGACTGGTTAATGTGATTGAAAAGAAGGAGACCGAGGCTTTTGGGGTGCTTCGCGCAAATCATGCCACGGCTATCCTGCGCATGATGTATAGCATCAAGGAGACACACATGACCGAGGCTCAGCAGACCATTGACTCCCTACGCCTCAATCGCGATTCAGTTGTGTCCCAGCTGGCCTACTACCTCGCCTCCTTGGCGAGTCCGAGTCGCTGATTCCGAACGAGAAAGGCGCATGGAGCGACTTGAAGCAGGATATCGACAAACCCACCCAGGACGACCTGCGCATGTCGCAGCATGAACAGCACGAAATGAACATGGCCACGGCGGCAATGGCGCTCAATGTGGTCTCGGCGGGCATTGACACGCTCGTCGCCCTGTTTTGCATGGTCCCATCCGTCTCCATCAACGCGATGCCCATGGGTATCAGTACCACCGTCGCAGCCGGCGGTGGCAGCACCATCTCGAACTTCATGCAGGCAGGGGAGATCCCTCTGAGTGAATCAAAGCAGATGGCCCTTACAAACAGTATGCAGAATACGTTGCCACCATGGAACGAACTGCTCATTCCCATTTAGTGGGAGACCGCGCCCCACTCTCTTGGAGGTCGAGGGCACTGAAATGGGAGCAATATGTTTGTTCCATTGGGAAAAGGATTACCTGGTTCATCGAACTGGGTTTTAGGCTCAATGGGGGTGTTCCAAGTTGGGTTTTGCCCAGGTCTAATCTATAGAGAACTCTAGACCTTTAAGAAATCACTAAGGCAGCACCTAAAGCATAATTACAAGACAAATCTAGTAATACAGCTTATAAAAATAGAGGATTCTTAGTAGAAATTATAGAAAATTATAGGACGTAAGGATTCTAAGTATACAGTCTATATAACAAGATATATATAATATATACTATCGTACGGAGTACCGCGATTATAGCCTGGGACTTGGAATAGGACGTCTCGAGGGTGCCATTGATTGATGAAGAATTTCCAATCGAAATACAGTGCCAGTGAGGGGATCAAGCAGGGACGAGCTCCACTTCTATGCACTCTACTAGAATTCAGTTGAGCGGCCGATCTGCAGACGCTACGGGCAATATCCGCTTCGCTCGCTAAACTATGCTTCTGATTGACCCATCCATTCTTTATCCCTGCTTCGAATGTTTCCTAGGAGACGAGGTGGCTTTGCAGGAAAGGAGTAGTCTACCTGTCCGCCAGTTAAACCGAGGGCTAGCCTTTGTGTTCCAGACCGTGGTGGAGACGTAGCAGCAACGTCTGTTCTTGCATAATTTCATCTCTGTCCTACGCATATCTTTGCTCACTTGCTATGACGATGGACGGAACGACTCAGCCACTGGATTATGACGAAACCACTTCAGATTAAGACGCCCAGAGCCAATTAGCGGTATTTCGCCTGACAGAATACTACTGAACAGTCCGGAACACGGCACTTGAAACAAGGAAGCCAATCCTTCTCAGGCCATCGGGGTGAAGGAAACCTCCGTGCTTGCAGCATCCAACGCCATTCCTGCAGCACTGAACCTTCTGCAAGACTAGTCAAGGCTCCAACCCTCTTCAGTAATACATCGTCTTTGCCTGATTCATGAGGGTTCTCCACCCTTCGAGGCGATATCGGCCACGGACGTCTCAGCGGGTAGGCGTCCTGGTCAGATAACATTGGCCTGTCCAGTAATCCCGCATGGCTAAGTTTGTAAGTGCACCAGCAAAGTCAAACAGACTAACAAATCACAATCCCTCCCTCACAGTCATGCTGCATTCAGAGGCTCTATTCCTCGGCTCCTCTGCAGTTGTCTCCAGCGCTATTTTCGGGGAACCGAGTATTGACCAGCATGCAGGGCAACCCGCCTTGTTTCCTGAAGCTCGATGACTTTGTGACACGCATGAATGGTCCCAGTCTGTCACCGCGAACCTTTCCAGATGGATGCTTCAGTCCCTGAAATAATCTTTACCCGTCAAGATCCTGAACCCAAACACCTTGACAAGGGACCGTCATAATACTCATGTCTGGGGACTTCCAGCATCATCCGAATTGCTTTGTCACCTAGTTGACGAAGGAGCTCTCGATGCTATTGAGGACAGGGGTAGTCTAGGTCATAAACTGCGATATGTGCAATGAAGGTACCTCCTCAGTGATCACCATCCTCGACTGGAGAGGAACCTCAGCCTTGGGCCGAAATCAAGTACTGCAATAGTAATCTGCTCCAGGGGCTTCTTTTCTTGCCCTTAGTATTTCTACTCATGGTCAGGCAGACAGGAAACTAGGATACAGTCCTCTTTTTAAATGGCTACGCTATCAGATCAAAGTCTCAACTTTCCGACACTCAAGCAGTGCCTCTGGCTCGGGTCCGCGATAAATTTGGAGGATCTCCAGCCCGACACTCGACAGCAACTCCTTCCATTCGTTCTCGCTGCGTTCCTTGCCTCCAAAGGTTAACATGGAATGATCACTCATGGCCTCGGATAGGGTGAGATTCGTCGAAGGCAACACCTGTCAGAACCCTCAATCAGTACTTGGTTCCTGAAGGCATATTCCCAGGCAGACTGACTGCATCCATGATTAGAATTTTGGACCGCTTTACATCCATCGCGGACACCAAGTGCCTCAGAATGATCTGAGACTTATCATCGCTCCAGTCATGCAGAATCCTCTTTAAGTGATAGGCAGCCGCTCCTTTAGAAATGGGAGACTGGTGTCAGCATCCAGAAGCCAAACGACAGGGAGACGTACCTTTAACCGGCTGCTCTGTGAAGATATCGTGAACCATCAACTCCACTCCAGCCGGCGAATCCGACATGGATTGAAATGTAGACGCCAGATCCTGCACTATCATCCGCCCTTTCAGTTGGGGGTAACGAGAGCGGATCTCCTGGAGAAGCTCGCCTCGGCTTCCACCGACATCCACGATTGCAACGCTCGACGGGTCATCGTCCACCAGTCTCAACTGGGCTTGGTAATCATACACCGAGCAGGAGAGATTAGTCTTTTTTGGATGCGCCTGCATCGAGGCAATGAAGAGCTTTTGGATGCTGGGATGGTCCCGCAGGTAATCAAAGAACCCATACCCGGGCTTCTGGAAGTATGCCGCCAAGGGCGTATTGAAGTCATCATGAGAACGGGGTTCTCGGTGTCCGTATTGACGGAAGAACGAGGGGTTGAACAGCACAACCGGCAGAAACTCAATACTGCTTAGATGTTAGCACAACTATCCGGAAGCGAACAGCCGGTGGCGGTCAAGGAAGGCGCATACGCAAAGCTGGTGGCCTCCTCATAGGCCGACACTGCAAAGATACTCCCCTGCCTGCTGACTGTGTATCCGCCGTCTTCCGTTTCCGATAACAGATGATCGGCAACTAAGGGGCGGAGGACCCGCACTACAGAAGCTTGTGGTCAATAGAGGTAATTACTTGTCTCAAGCTGTGTAATTTTCTGGTCAAAACCAACCTATGAGAGCCTCCTCGGCCCCTGTAGCTGCTGCCAACTCCTTCGCCGTGGCACTAGATTGGCTTTGCAGACAGCGAAACACTCCAATGTCCTGTGCCACCTTGATGGGAGACAATATGGAACACTGCAGTAAACGTTAGCCAGCCTTGCATTTTTAGTTCCCTGTGCGCCACTCACCCTGCGAATGAGCTCCCAAAATGCTTCCTGTGGCTCCTGTGTGGCAAGCATGAGCCGGTGCGCTTCCAGGCGCAGTTCCTTCAGAATCTCCTTCCTCTGAAAGTCAGGACCGCCTGCTGCATGGTTATTCACGGCTAGCAGGTCTTGTTTAATTTGGCATATTCTATCAACAAGGCTGACAATCTCCTCATCCAAGGAGGCTCCATTGGGCTGCTGCATCGTGTGTTGAGCTGAAAGTCGTTGGGATTAGGATGTACCCGAGACACCATCAGCGGAAAAATCGTAGATGTAGTGGGTTTCATCCAGGTGGCTCTGCTAACTGGCCGTCAAGGGCACATCTTCATCTCGAAGTAAAACTATTTCCTCGGCGACCGATTCGGCCTCAGTCCGGGATCGCCGTTGGAGGACTGCAGAATTATCAGTCAGAGACTGCTAAGCCTAAAATGTACGCTGTAGACGACATTGTGGCTTGTAGATAGACGTACTGAAAGTAAGTAGACAATAATGGACGACCAACAGTAAGCCAAGACATTGTTGGACCTCAGCTGCACCCCGCTTCCTTCGCGTCGGTCAATAGGTACTTTTGTTAAGCCCAGACCAATAGGAAAGGCCAGCTGCCGAGTCATTTTACAAGTGTCTTGACGGCGTGGGGGCCAGAATTTTTGTCATTGTGATCAGGGTCCAGTCAGCCATCAATTATGTGCTGATATGGACGTGAATCAGACATTATGGCAGCCAAGCGAAATGATGACGGAGTAATCCGGTTAGATGGAGCCCCTACAGAGTCATGTTTGCGGCTTGCAACCTTTTTGATCACGCGCTGACAGAGTCCATGTTGTGGAAGCCAAAGTACGCCGTATTATCGAAAGGTACTATGCTTTCACTTGGATTCCTTCAATACAATTCCACACCGTGCCGTTTTGCCGAAACAACAGTGGATACAGCCGCCTTTGCGCGGGATTGCTTTTACGGGCGAGTCTTCAGAACCTCGAAAAGGCTGACGCCAGATCAGACCATGTGGATTGCAATCACTGCATGAGTGCTCAAGCAAAAAGCCGCTTACGCATTACAGTTACAGCCACGTAAGAACCTCTTTGTTCCCACACGCCACGCCTAGCCCCGAGATGTATTACCAGGGCTAAGGGATACACTCCCTATAGATTCTTAGGTAGAGGTTTGGACGACTTTCCTAAAATATGTCAAAAGCACATATGGGAATGTGATAAATTCAGAATCTGGCACTGGTGCCAGGCTTAGACTTGCTTCCCAGGCTGATCTTCCCATCTGGGCGTGGCCTTAACTCATATCAGCCCCATCCAATCAGGCCTAAGGTTCAGTAAGCTTTCAGGGTCTGCCAGAACATAGTCTTAATAGAAACAAGAGGGATATCAGGATACTTTTTATGAATTCTAGCATGACTCCATCCAATACTATGAAGCCCACAGATACGTGATTGCATCTGCGGAGATAATTCATTATGAGGTGCAATAATATTGATTATTAAGAGCGGTATGATGAGATTCAAATCTGCGCATAAAATATGAGGGAGTTTCCTAATCGGGCTAGCGGTAAATACGACTGGGTTCAAACTTTTGTCATGCCACTGTATGAACTAAGGTAGACAAATGAACATAAGAGATGGGGCCTGCCCTGCCAATACTACATTTTGACTCCTACTAGTGCTGCGACTAATAAACCAAATCTTGGTGCCCATGGGGGCCAAAAGTTAAAATAGCCTGTTAAACCACTAAGGATCTATGAGCTTGGGCGGCCCCCTTGTTTACCCACTTAATACTGTCCCATATTGTTGCTATCATGAAGAAAGTCTGAATCCTTCAGACCTTCACTGTCATCCATCATGATTCATACAAATCTATTGTTTGTATCTTTTATTGCCATCATTAATGACATATATAAACCTACGTCACTGCATATGCCAGTAAGCCAGTTGCTGAGCTTACGCATCAGCTTAGCACTTAATGCATGTTTTTTTTACTAATTCAGTAACGCATGGAAATGGGCTATGAACGGAATCTTTCTAGTATAGTCCAAGTTTCGGGCAACATCTTTTGCCATCCTAGCTCGTTTCATGGCGATTCATTGGAGGCTACACCCCAGGTGTCCACTCAGAGACATTGTTACAGCCGGCAGGAGATCAGGGATCACCTTGTGCCCTTTGACGAAAGTATCAAGACTGGGGAAGAAAAAGGAAGAGAAAACTATCTAGTGGGTGGTGTTTGATATATTCGATGATAAGGAGCGCCTTCTCCTATTATCCTGATCCAGTCCCAGATCGTCACATTGCCCTCTCCTCTAAGAGGACCTGGCCCACCAGGTCCTGTCAGACCGGTTTATCGTCATCACGGTGGTCAGGGTTGAACCGGTTGTTTAGCGCAGGCTGCGCAGCTTCGGCCCCAATATGCAATCATCTTTGTGCAGGCGATCTGCCAGTTGCTCTCCAGTTTGTATAATTAGATGCTCTGCAACGAAAAGTAATCCCTCCTTGTGGGCGATCTTACCTTTGTTTCTGACCCCATCTTGTCTCTCAAGTACGTCAATTTGTCACATTGCTTCCATGGCCGGCGAAAACCCTACACCAGCAGTCAAGCTGCGGGCTGCATGCAACCAATGCCATTTCTCCAAGGTGAGTTGCGGCCCAGCATCATGGTTCCGCCTGGCAGGAAGCCCCGGAAGTAACATGCAAGTACGATATTGCAGGTCCGATGTAGCGGTGAGAAGACCGGATGCAGCCGATGCTCCAACCTGGGCTACTCCTGTATCTACGTCGAATCTCGCGTGGGGAAAGTGCAAGGCAATAGGTCCCGACGACGAGCAATACAGCCAGAGAACGACATCCAACGGCCATCCATGACGGCTAGAGCGTCAGATGCAACAGAGAGCAATTCTTCCCCCTCGACACCGGCTGCCAGCACGCCCTTGCCAGCCGGCACGCCGATTACTTCGAGCAGCCTCAACAGTCTGAATAGCCTGACCGGCACATTTAACTTTGACGACTACCTCTCCACAGATCCCCGGGGCCATGAGAATGGCAGTATCCACTCGAAGCCCCCATCCAAAGCGGACGAGTGCTCGTTGCTCTGGGGGTTCGAGGACCTGCCCTCCGTCGGAACGCCTATTGATTGCACGTCGTCGGGCCATGCTGCACCTAATTTCCCGGATCCCACCACAGCCGAGCTGATGGGACTCACCTCCCCGTTCCAATCCTCTCCGAGCCGGGGTCTCAGTTCAAGCGGGCTCGTTGATCCGCAGGTAGACACCACCATGAAGAGCGGAAACGTGAATACAACACATCATCCCTTCCACGCGCATCGGCAGAGCTCTTTCCAGCGCATGCTCACCTGCACAGAACTAGTACATGAACTCGAATACTACATCCACATCCGGCTGATGGCCGTGGACGAAGTCATGCGCGTCAGCAAGCACTGCATGGCACAACTCGTCCTACACCTCGACTCGCAGAAGACGTACCCCAGCATGAGTCTGCTGGGGCTTAACTGCATCGCCTTGAACCACGTAGTCACTCTTCTGGAGAGTGCATCTTCCTATGTGATGCTTCCGTCGGAGGCCGAAGAACCGCAGGGCCATATGCCCACCATCCAATTCGGGAACTACCGTCTTGATCCGGAGCAATACGTCGACATCCAGGTGCAGCTGTTCATGAAAGAGCTGGAGCGATGTAGCCAGATTGTGGATAAGCTTGCCGGCCGTGTGCAGCAGATCCAAGGTGACCATCAGAACCTGGGGACTATCTACTCATCATGGCAGTCGGATCTCCAGACACGGTTGCAGGCTTTGAGGGAGACGCTCGCAAAGTAACTATGTCATGCCTACCGTGTACATGTTTCAACCAAATAGCGATCTAATTATTATGATGACCATTCTTGGGGTATTTTTCCTGATTACGGCTGAACTCACGAAATACCCAACCGGGCGATCCCGCATGAAATGGAGGTAGAGTGCGTGGATAGAAAGTACAATCTGTACTCACCGTGTTGATCAAACGGTGGCGTTAAAGCCAAAGCCATTTAGACCCAAAACGGCAAAGGAACAGGGATCTGCAGAGTCTGCAGGAGAACGAACGGATGAGGGGTTTTCCTAGGCGGGGGCAGAGACGTAATCCTCTAAGACCAACCAGATTAAATCAATCTGGTCATGGGGTATCTAGTCTTTGGCCTCGGCCTGTCAACTTAGGGTAGACCATGTGGTCTACAGCCTCATACGTCAATTTGATTATGCAGTGAATAACATAAAAGGCACGGAATGATCAGGACCAGAACATCACGAGCCTAACACCAGCCAAACTCCGAGGCCTCGTCGCAGCCATCTCCTCTGCCAAAGAGAGGCGCATGAAGCCTGTCATGGTGCAGCCACATAAGCAACAGAATCAGCCGTACCACCTTCTTCACCCACGTCGGGCAATTGCCCCTGCCATCCCAGTTGGCTGTTGCTCCTGTGAGCTTCTCAGCTGCAGCCATGATTGGGGACCACAGAGCCAGGAATAACATGGCCCCCAACCGACGCCAGCCATTCCTTGGCGCGTCATAGAAAGGGAGCGTGTCAAGGTAGCATTGGTATTCCGCCGGCAGCTTTGACTCGCGCGCTCCGTCTAGAATAATACCCTGCATTCGTGGTTGATTCAGCTTTCTTTCTATCCCCGTGGTTACCTCCGAGAACGCCTCACCTTGTAACGCAGACTAGGGCAGCGAGGGACAGTGGGCCCATACGCCCTGACTAGTGTCGTGACGTGGAACCGCCGTGGCTGATTCAGCTCGTCCCCTTTGGCCTCGGAATTCCCTAGCGGGGCTTGTAGTTGTAGCAACTGCAGATCTTCATTTTCGTCACAGTTGTACGCGCTGAGCGCTTCAGCTAGAACCTCCACCTCGTCATAGGCTGTCCCCCCGCCCTCCGATTGCACCACGGAATACCAAGATTGGCGATCAAGCAGATACGCTACCCCGTGCACTGCTGGCAGGTCATGGTTCCTCTTCTCGTTCACAGTAGCGTCATCCGAAAAGGGGATAGGGCTGATGGACGAGAACGCGGGCTCTCGGTACGGAAGGCCGTAGATGTCAAAGACAAGGGCCCACCCCGGGATGCGGACGGGGATCGCCGCCAGCGGACTGATGCCTCGATGCTGGCGAAACGTCTCAGAGGACATGTTGGAGCCGTAAGCGAAATACCAGACCCTGCTGGCGTCGTCCGTCTCTTGGTCTGCCCGGTGAAATGAGGACGTCCGACTGACTGCATGGGCTTGCATTGTGATTGCCGCTCTCTTGCTCAAAATCCTGTTTTCTGATACTTTTGGCGTTGCCTATGGAAGCATTCCTCATACTCGGAGAGTGTCGTGCAGGCCATGGCGAGTGGGTGTATGTATGGCTTCGAGTCGGCTGCCGACATTTTCTAGCCGCAACTGAGAATCTACAGCGGGCGGAGGTTGTCGAGTTCGATTTATATCTACGTGGTCGGAAACGCCATTTGACTAGAAGTGATGCCATCCAGACTGATACGAGTCTTACGACCGGCCAAAGCACTATTCGCGCCTTAAATGCCACCTTCCCTCGTATAAAGCACACCATATTTTCTTCTTTGTTTCCCTCTGCAAATTTAATTTGCTGCTTACGCTCGAGTCAGCACGACCCCGCAGACCCCTGCAGCGTCTCGGTGGCCGATAGGAAATCAATCCAACCACCATCGGTATGGGAAGCAAGGCATTACCTAAACCCTAGCGCTAATTTAGTGCTGACGGCGTAATGATTGGAAACTACAGTAGTGTCACTTAGATGCCTAACGTAGCTTACAGGGTCAGATATGACTCCAGAGGTCTTAATCAGGGGCTACGGACGTCTGCCTGGCGATCCGGGAGGGCGCGGACCCCGAGATCCCATGCATCCATATGCGCCGGATGGCGTAAGAGCGTAGCAGACAGAGTAATCAGAGGAGAGTCGGATAGCTTCTGGCTCCTACCGAACACTGAGCCAGCCATTCGGAGATTGTAGACCTCTTTCTGTCGCTAATTGAGTTGGCTGGACTTTGTGCCTTACTTGTCTCTTCTTTGTAGCAACCATCCCTTTCCATATTGCGTGTTTGTGCTTCTAGTTGCAATCTGCTGCACTAAGATGATCAGACACTCTTCATTGCTGAGATTCAGGGGACTCGTCTCTTCCAGAACGGTCCCCTTGCCCTACGGCCGTGTGCTCTTTGTTCGACGATTCAACAGTACGGAGGGGCCCCAGGGTCAGGGCAAGATCCATACTGTTATTGGTGCCGGTACGCTCTGTGAACATAACTCACTTCTACATTGACACTAACAACGTGCAATCCCTCAGTCGTCGATGTCAAGTTCCACCGCGAGCCTCTACCCCCGATCCTCAACGCCCTCGAGACTTCCAATGGAGGCAACAAGCTTGTGTTGGAAGTAGCCGTGAGAGGCCCCTGTTAAAATCACTGAAATCAATTTGATTAACCTATTTTCACAGCAACACCTGGGCGAAAACATTGTCCGATGCATCGCCATGGACGGTTAGTAGCATCTTGTGCCTTGCAAAACAAAGCAGAACGGACCGCGCTAAGATTCATGACCATTCAACAGGAACCGAGGGCCTCATTCGAGGAACCCAGGTGACGGATACCGGCGCTCCCATCTCGATTCCCGTCGGGCCCGCTACGCTGGGCCGGATCATGAACGTCACGGGTGATCCCATTGACGAGCGTGGTCCTATCGAGGGGGTCAGGACCATGCCTATCCACACGAATCCTCCAGAGTTTGTTGAACAGTCAACGGCAGCAGAAATTCTTGTGACGGGCATCAAGGTCGTGGACTTGCTGGCCCCGTATGCCCGTGGAGGCAAGATCGGCCTCTTTGGGGGTGCTGGAGTAGGGAAGACGGTGTTCATTCAGGAGTTGATTGTCTGTACTTTCATCTGTCTATTTTGACAGGATTACAGCGCTGACAGTGATGATGCGATGACAGAATAATATCGCCAAAGCCCATGGTGGTTTCTCCGTCTTCACTGGAGTTGGCGAGCGGACTCGAGAAGGCAATGATCTCTACCATGAGATGCAAGAAACCGGGGTCATCAACCTGAAAGGGGAGTCCAAAGTCGCCCTGGTGTTTGGTCAGATGAACGAGCCTCCCGGTGCTCGTGCTCGTGTGGCACTGACAGGACTGACGGTTGCCGAGTACTTCCGCGACGAAGGACAGGATGGCGAGTCTACCCATCCTTCCTAACAATCGCATTTAACTGACCAAAACCCAGTCCTCCTCTTCATCGACAACATTTTCCGTTTCACACAGGCAGGCTCCGAAGTCTCCGCCTTGCTGGGACGCATTCCCTCTGCGGTGGGATACCAACCCACCCTGGCAATCGATATGGGCGCCCTCCAGGAACGCATCACCACCACAACCAAGGGCTCCATCACTTCCGTGCAGGCCGTGTACGTCCCCGCAGACGATCTGACTGATCCCGCCCCGGCCACGACCTTTGCGCATCTCGACGCAACCACCGAGTTGTCCCGGAGTATCTCGGAGCTGGGCATCTATCCCGCCGTTGACCCGTTGGGGTCCAAATCCCGCCTCATGGACCCGCGCATTGTAGGCGAAGAACACTACAACACGGCGCTGGAGGTACAGATGATTCTCCAGGAGTACAAGTCGCTCCAGGATATCATCGCCATTCTGGGCATGGATGAGTTATCCGAGACAGATAAGCTGAAGGTTGAGCGGGCGCGAAAGATCCAGCGCTTCCTCAGTCAGCCTTTTGCTGTGGCAGAGGTATTTACGGGCATGAAGGGTGAGTTGGTGCCATTGGAGGATACTATTCGATCGTTCCGGGCTATTCTTGATGGGCAGGGTGATAATATGCCTGAGAGTGAGTAACCCGCAATCCTAGTATAACGAGGGCCACTATTGACTCCCATTCAGATGCTTTTTACATGGTGGGCAACTTCGACTCGGCCAAAGCCAAGAGTGAGAAGATCCTCAGGGAGCTGGAGCAGCGAGCCTAGTCAGATTATGCAATTAGCTAGTGGTTTTCACTGCTCTAGTTGGATAGGGAGACTGTTTTCTCTGTACATTGCGAGTAGATAGTGAAATATACGGATTGGTGTGTTTGTGTTCAAAATATTCTGCACCCATAACCCTTCATGTCGTATATTTTGCAAATGAATGAACAAATGAAGGAGAGGATGTACAAACGTGGAGGCATCTATTCTACGCTTGCTAGAGGCCTTGGGGCGCAAGATGTACAACGAAGACGGGAATCGACGAGACTCCTCCTAGAAGGATACAATGTGTGTGATGGTGTCTATTGGCTAATCACCGGTTGAGCTGTTGATGAAGCTATCCAGGAAAACATAATTTACTCCAATTCATTCCGCAGAAGGAGAGCGAGGCTCTCTAGTCTGCTTGTCCCACATCTGCCAATATCTCCCCGGTTTCGTCAAGAGCTGTGTATGGCTTCCTCGCTCCACGATGGTGCCATTGTGGAAGACAACAATCTCGTCGCAGTGTGTAATCGTAGATAGACGATGTCTGCAGGGGCCATCAGTCAAAGAATCCTCATCCCCAAGCGGTCAAATACTTACGCGATGGTAATGGTAGTCCTGCCGATACTGATCTTAGCCAACGAGGCCTGAATGGACTTTTCGGTTTCCGAATCCAGGGAGGCTGTCGCCTCGTCCATGAGGATGATCCTCGGCGACTTCAATAGCACGCGAGCAATTGCGATCTACACGCGTCAACTTTGTTCTATGGATCAGCCAAGGACGCCCTTACCCGCTGCTTCTCGCCTCCTGATAGACGCAAACCCCTCTCTCCGACTTGGGTCTGATACCGATCCGGAAGAGCCATAATTTTGTCATGAACGCTCGCTGCGCGGCAGGCCGCATAAACATCCTCCTCCGTGGCGGATGGGTTTGCATATAACAGGTTATACATGAGAGTATCGTTAAAGAGCATCGTCTCCTGCGGGACGACTCCCAGGTGCTTGCGCAAGCTCTCGATGGTAATGTCCTCCACGCTCTGACCATCGATAAGGATCCGACCGCTATCTGGGTGGTAGAAGCGAAAAAGGAGTCGCAGCAGCGTGGACTTCCCGCTTCCACTCTCGCCTACAATAGCCACTGACCTTCCGGGTGGGATATCGAGATTGATCTTGGTCAAGGCCAAACGGCGGGGGTCATACGCAAACGTCACGTCCCCAAACGTGATGTGCCCTTTGCAATCGACTAGATCTATGGCATCAGGCTTGTCTACCACGGAGGGCTTCTCGTTAAACTGTACCATTGTCGCGTCAGTGGACATGAGAAAACCCGAGATTCCAACACGGGACACTTACCAGGGCAAGCATACGCTCTGCATCAATCAGATTGTTTTGGATTTGAGTGTAGAAACTACCGAAGAACCCCAGTGGTGCTTGCAGCTGCGCCAGGTACGCTACCAGCGACACAAACAGGGGCACCTTTTCGACCCCGATGGAGATATTGTAGGCGGACAGGAAACTCACGAGGGCCACGCCGAGAGTAAAAATGAGATTCTGAACGGCGTTTAATAGGTTCAAAGACACCAGCACGCCAAACTCGGCCCGCTGAAAGGCTGTGACGCGGTCGGACAAGCGACGCTGTTCCTGGTCAATAGCGCTGTTGTAGTGGACGACATCGTAGGCCATGATCGCATCGGATCTGCGTGCATTTTAGCATTGTATGATTCATCGCATAGTATTGGTGAGGGATGCCACACAACATACTTGATTGCCTCCATTTCCCTATCGCAGTTGACCATCTGGCGTCGTGCCCGACCCCGATACTTGGCCATATAGATCGTGACAAACAGGTACGTGCCGCCCATGGCGAGAATGATGAGCGAGTAGAACGGGTCAAAGTTGACCAGGAAATACACGGCGGCAACGCCAATATCTGCCACCATCGGAAACAGCTGGAAGACGAGGGAGTCGATAAACGTGTTCAGTGCACTTCCCTTGTTCAGAGCGCTCATGACTTCACCCAGGCGTTTTCCTAGATGGAACTGAAGCGACAGAGACAGCACATGTTTGAAAGACGACTCGGTCAGTCTCCGATACGTCGCTTGCCCAAAGGGAATCCACAGAAGCGCCCGAATGGACGCGAGAACGCCCTGCTGGCCTTGCACCGCTCGGCAGACAATATAGAGGGAGAGTTCTTTGTAGGGGATATGACCTTTGCCCAAAGAGGCAACAACACGACCGAGTTGTAGTGGGACAAGGACGTTGACGATGCGCTGGGCGATGAGGATTATGATGCAGACGATGGCTCGTAGCTGCATGGACACAGAGTCGGCCGGCCTGTCAATCCATACAATCAGCACATAGTTCTAATAACTCGAGTCATTCAGAGTGCTTTGGCTTAGCTCACCAGATCAATGGGAATATGACCCCCAACCCGACGAGGTAGTCCAGCCAATTCGTTGACTGAGCGTCACCGGGCTTCGGCGGGCTGGCCTCGACCGTGCCATACCGACCTTCCTCACTAGTGTCGGAGCTCAACAAGCTTTCTCGAGCGGGATCCTTGAGTCCCCTCGGCGATGGGATATGCCTGATGCTGCATGCAGCGATGAGTAGCGCTAGCCGTCCATAGGCCAGAACTAGCCAAAGGACGGTAAGGCCATCGATAGAACAGTTTGTGGCAGCCACGCAGTCTAGCACTACTATTACTGCTTCAAATATAATCGCAGTAATCCAGGTGTGTACATTCGCAGCAGAGGGCCGGTATGGGAGGTCGGGATCCGGCAGGAGAGAGGCTGCAAAGAAGAGAAATACCGCGGTCGTTGGGGCCTCAAGTCACAGTATCAGTATGATGTATCGAACGGCCAGGAGGAAATGGAGGCACTTACTGTGTTGGGGAGCCATTGACTACTACATTTCCCTTTATATCGAGACGCCGACAATTGCGCTACGAGGATGGAGCCCAACTACGGTAGTCAGTCCAGTTACAAGCAAAAAGCGGCAGACTCCTGATGCCATACTAACGAGACGGTAAAGATGCAGAGAAGCCATCTTATCAACCGGGCCCGGGTGTCCGAAATAGAGGAGAGGCCATCGTCTATGTTTGCCTTGCCGCGCCGGATCTTGAGCCAGATGCTCGAGATGAGGTATACGCCTGCGAGAGAGATCGGGTACGCTGGAAGCAGTACGACTCGAGAGCTGGAGGCAAGATCTTCCATTGCCATCAATTTTCGTGGATTTGCCAAATCAGCAATCACGGATGAAAAGTAGAGAAAGTCACCCTAGTTCAGATGTGCTGGAAAGGTCCCCCCGGCGAAAGTATTGTCGCTGTCGGGATCCGCCCGGGCTCCGAATCTGGGCGTGTCAATCGACGTTGTCCAACAGCACCATTGCGTGCCAAAAAGACGCGAGACTTGGAAGCAGAGACACATATTGCAAAATATACATACCCAAATCAAAGGAAGACGTTGTGTTGACTATGCACTCCACCGGCCATGCCAGCACCAGCGACACGGCAGAGGAGGAGGCCAGCCTGTTGGGCCATGCCGACCAGCGCAACCGTAACTGGGTCGTCAGTGATGAGTCCAAAGCCGTTCCGGTCTCCTTCCTTGCCTCATCCGCTCTGCATATGACCGCTGCATCGTCCGTATGGGCTGTTGCATCTCTGTTCTGTGAAGACCCAGACCACTGCCAGGGCGAAGAAACCCGCCGCTATGCGGCCTCTGTGGCAACAGCAACTGCATTGGCCAATGCGGCAGGACTGCTCACTTTGGGATACATGAAGCGAGTGGTGCATTGGGATGTCCGTGCTGGTCTCGTCATTTGGCTGCTCTGCCGCGCAGTCGGGGTCTTGGGCATCGTTGTTGGAGGTAAGTGTGTCTTCTGTCCGCAGCGTACAATCGATTCAAAAATGGCTCATGCTTATCAAAGGCTGGTCTAGTGGGACTGAGAAGTTTTCCCTGCGTCCTGGGAGGTTTAATACTGCAAGGCCTAGCCTCGGATAATCTGCTGCATTTCACCTTGAACGTCATATATGTCCAGGCCACCTCCCCCGAGACCATATCCATGCTGATGGGTTCCTCCCTGGCCTGCTACATGGTCGGCATGGCCCTTGCGCCTCTTAGCGCCGGCTGGTTGCCCTCGGTGGAATGGACATTCTTCGTTGCCATCGGTCTCTTTATGATAGCGATCGTCTATGTATTGCTGGTTGTGTCTGGAACCGTGGGAGAGCCGCAAGTCCATTCCGCCACCGCTTCGCTGTCCTCAGAGACACCGACAATTCAAAAGGCCTGCACGAGTCGACTAGGTGAGGTCCTGTCGCCAGCCGGCTTTTTCTATGAGTATCCTGGCACGATTCTATTTGGCTTGTCCCTGTTGCTCTACAACATGGTTCAGGGATACATGATCAATCTGCTCTTCATCTTCACCTCCCTCCAATTCGGCTTTACGCCAACAAACAATGGAGCCCTTCTCTCCCTCATCGCCGTCACTGCTGCAGGATACCTCATATTCTCCTCCTTCGTTGTACCAAAAGTCCTCTCGTTGGCCGGTCGAACCCCCACGCGCCAAGACACACAACCTCGACTGTTCGATCTAGGTGCCGCAGTACTCTCTATACTGAGCCAGGTAGCTGCCGCATTGTTTCTCTCTCAGTCGCAACAGGTGTACGTGGCGGCATCATTGCTTGCCGTAGGTTTGGCCACCCCTTCCTTTGTGAAAAGCTTTGTGGTTGTTCAGTTTGAGGCCAAGTCTCGGGTTGTCGCTGCACTGGCGCTGATGGAGACCGCGGGGGGACTCTTGAGTCCGGTCGTATTAGGTCCGTGGCAGGCGAATCATCCCGGTGGCTCAGCATTCTATGTAGCAGCAGTCATCCTTGGTGTTTCTGTCTGCTGTTTGGTGGTGGGGGCTTGTGTGAGGCATTCGTGAGTTTCAGATATTGGATCAAATGTTGAGCGTCATCGGTGATGAGGAAATACATAGTGAATTGCCATAGAACATTCCCATGCATCCAACGTAGAAGTGTGTCTGTCCAGAATCATCGGCAAGTACCTTGTGACTATCACCAGGCCACAATGTGGTCTGAGTCATTTTGGATCGGAGTTCGAAGGCAGGGATGGCGACAACAGGAGAGGTTCAACCCGTAAAATAGTATATTATAGACTACTATACTAGAAATATATATAATGCATATAAATTTTATACATATGGATAGGATATATATATTATTAGAATAAGTAATAATATTAGTATAGGTATATATAATAGAAGCTACATATTTTTATAGAGATTTTTAATTAATTTTATAACCTCTATTATGGTTATATTAGTTGGAAATCTATATATCTTACATTCTTATGTTGAGGGTCGGTTCGATCTAGTCTCCTAGCCATAAATGAGAAGGATATCGATTTCCTCTCTCTAAAAGGACATAGTAACAGGGATATATTTCTACATGAGCAACACTCGATTGACCAGACAAGTTCGAGTGATTGTACTTGTACCAGTCAAGACAGTCTTAAGAGTGACACAGGCAGTAAAAAAGAATGTAGGCAAATGTGCTTTAAGGACAAATTTGGCAAAAGACAAAAAAGACACCAGAATGTGCTCACACCTCCACCCGGGCTGCCAGCTGTGCTCGCAGTGCTGGAAACGATATTTCCTCCCCAAGTAACTGCAGGCCATGCAGCAAAACAGCAACGATTCTGTTGACCACTACATCCGGATAGCAATCGCGGTCATGCTCAACCCTCACCGTCAAGTCCTCATCCGACTCCATGCAGAACTCAAAGAGCAGCTTGAACTTGGCTCCTTCAGCCCAGAGCCCAACGGGCTCGAACCCAGGCAGCGGAAAGGGCTCTTTCTTCCGATTATCGTGGAACGTGACCATGGTATCGAACAGGGGATGGTTGGGGTAATCCTGCGTTGCACTCAGACGGCAGAGTATCTGGTTCCAGGGCACTGCGTGACCGAGTGCGCGCTGGCTAGAGTCCCGCACCGCCTGTAAGAATTGTCCCGTATGCTCCGGGGAGGGCACCGGCTCACGGACCCGGATGGGGAGGGGTTCGAGGAAGAGTCCGATGGTCTCCTGCGCTTCTGGGGTCTTGCGATTGAGATGTGGGCCGCCTAGGAGGAGGTCGATTGCTGTATTAGGCTCGCCGGCCTGCATGGTCAGTGCCACGGCTGCGAGGGCGAGCTGGTGGAGACTGAGTCGGTGCTCATTGGCGACGCGGAGCATCTGGCCCGCGAGCAGCGGCGGGATGGAGAAGACGGTGGATGTGCCTCGGTAGCTGGTGCGCTCCGAGCCTACCGCAAAGGAGTCTCGCGCGGGATCAGGTACTCCGGCCATGTATTCCGACCAGAAGTCCAGATCGCAGCTGGCGCAGATGGAGTTGTGGGCCATGACATGCATGTAGCTTGCGCGGGGACTGGTGCGTAGCGATGATTCGCCACGATATGCTGCCGCGACTTCACCCTGGAGGAGCTCAAGCGTGGTCAGATCGCAGACGATATGGCTGATGACCACCAGGAGCACGTCGCGTGAGATGAGCACCCGGATGGGATCGTTCTGCGCCAGGAGGAACGGCCGATTGACCTCCTTCCACAGATCCATATGACTAACCCGGTGCACTTGTGGCGGGCTGTTGGCAAATCGACGGCGCACCCCGGCCCTGCGATCCGAGACGTATCGAGACCGCAAAATCATATGGCGGCCTAGGACAGTGTTCCATGCGGCGGTGAGCCGATGACGGTCCACGCGACCGGGATCAAATCGTGCGGCAAAGCAGACGTTGAAGGCCGAAGTACCTTCTTCGCCGAGCTGGTACTTGTGCCACCATTCTAGCTCGATGGGAGCCAGCTGATGCTCATCCACTTGGCTCGCCGGGCGATTGAACGTCTCCTTGAGAGACGTCCGGGCGTTGAGCGTGAGCAGCCTGTCGATCTGCTCGGCCATCTCCTGGACTGTCGGGCACTCCACAACGATCTTGAACGGAATGCGCAGCTGGAATTCCTCTGTGAGGCGCGACGCCAGATGCAGCTGCTGTACAGAATGGCCCCCCAGATCAAAAAAGTCCGATGAGCGGGTTATTGTTTTGCTTAGATCCAGCCCTAGAACTGCTCGCCACAGCCGTGCAACTCGCTTCTCTGTTCTTGTTGATAGAGGTAGGCTATCTGTCTGCTGTGCTGTTGGCTGGGGGACGGCCCTGGGAAGAGCTTTGGCAACGGACTGGTAGTCGAGCTTGCCGGCGGAGGTCATGGGGAACTCGTCAGTAGCGATGATATATCGGGGCAGCCCATGGGGAGGGAGCCTCAGCCGGGCTTGTGTCTCTAGCATGCCAGTGTCAACAGAGGCTGGTGTAACCATGGCCACAAGGTAATTCCCCTCCCAGTTCGGAGCGATGGCCGCCGCTGTGGTGGATGAATGCAGCTTTAGCATGCGAATCTCAAGGTCATTGAGATCCAGTCGGAAGCCTCGCAGCTTGATCTGGCGGTCCTTGCGCCCTAGACACACGATCTCGCCACTTCGGACATCCCAGTATCCATAATCACCGGTCCTATACATCATCTCGCCACTGTCTGGACGGACGGGATCAGGTCTGAATCGGTCGGCCGTTTGTTCGGGCAAACCAATATACCCTCGGGCAACCTGCACACCGGCAAGCCAAATCTCTCCAGTGATTCCAGGTGGCTGAAGAGCCTGTCTCTGATTCAGAATGTAAATCCGAGTGGACGGGTTAGGACGACCGATGGTCACTGGATATTTCGGCAATAGTCTCTTAATCGTCGCTCCGCCAGTCCCTTCCGTAGGGCCATACATGTTGTACAGTCCTTTTTGCTGTGACCATCGGTCGTTGACGGCCTGCGGAACAGGCTCACCAACCAGATAAACCTAAGCGATGTCAGTGATCTGGTAAAAAACTCGAACCAAGTTGTGCTTACCGTCTGCAAGGTCGGAAAGCGAGCCGGGTCAAGAACATTGGCCACTGAAGGAGTCAGAATGCACGAATCAACGTTGGCGAGATGCGAAAACGGATCTGCCGAATGCGGGAGCACCAGAGTTGCCCCATAACTGAGCGCCGAAAAGATCTCATGGATACTTCCGTCGAACGCAGGGGACATGGTTTGGGCCACCTTCCACCCTGGACGGGCCATCAAGCGCACGGCCCGGTCGCGCTGAAAGGCGACCAGTCCGGCGTGTGTGCACATCACTCCTTTTGGCTTTCCGGTCGATCCAGAGGTGAAGCAAATATATGCGTTGGCCTGTGGGTTGGGTTGGCGGGTGGATAATGGCGATATTGTTGGGCACTCCTGCCCTGTACTGTCCATACAGTCCTCAACAGACACCGCCAAGGTACAGTCAGCCGGTTTGAGATGCATCTGATGCAGCCGAGAAACTAGGAAGACACTTGCCCCTGCGGTGGCCGCATACTGATTGCGAAGGTCTTGAGGCAGGTTGGCGTGAAGTGGACAGTAAACCCCCCCAGCAAAGAGAATTCCGTAGATGCCAATGATCCACTCCAGGGACTGATCAGCATGCAGACACACCGTATCGCCTGGTTTGACATCCTTGAGCAGTTGCCGAGCAACTTTGCTGGAAGCCTCGTGAAGCTCTGCGTAGGTCATGTTATGCTTTCCTCGCTGAAGAGCAATTTGGTCTCCGTGCTCCGAGACGGTTCGCAGGAACAGGCTCACGAGATCATCCTTGACGGCACTGAACGTCGTCAGAGGAGATGTGCAATTCCCCAAACGGAGCAAGGTCTGGCGGGTCTCAGGAGTGAGCAGATCGTCTAGACAATGCTGAACCGTCGCATTGAGATCGCAAAGTAGAGTGAATGCCCGCTGGTAGTGACTCGAAATGAGCTCGACCATGCTGGACGGGAACATGCTGCGGTCGTACTGCACACGAACAGTCCCGTCAGTTTCAATGAAGATACTGAGAGGGAAATCGGTCTCGGAGCGAGAATATGGAGGTGTCAGAGGCTGAACAACCGCCCCATCGACGTCGATCCTGGTTGGCTCCAGCTGCATGCTAAGGGCTGAGGTGAACTTCCGATCATATCCATGCTCGGGTAACGTCCACTGGAAAGTGCAAAGCTTCACCAGCTGTCGGAAGACCTGCTGGAGCATTTGTGGCACCGTTTGTGTCGGGTCAAGTGGGACATGGATGGGGAGCGTATTGACGAGAGGCCCGATGGTCGTCTCTACATTGGCCAGGGGCAGGTTCCGCCCTGACAACACGGCTCCAAACACCACCGTCTCCGAGTCAATGAAGGCTGATAGCGCCAGTGCCCACGCGGCATAGCACATCGTGGCCGTGGTAACCCCGGCTGCCTGTGCCTGGGTTTGCACCTCGCCGGGCATCTGGAAGGAGATTGCGTCGATACCCTCTTCTTTGTTGGAATCCTGCCTTGGCGGCAATTGGAGCTCCCCGCCTGCTGACCCGTACTGCGCATACTGCTGTTTCCAGAACTCCTTAGCCGCCTCCTGTGAACTGCTTTGTAGTTGGCCGAGATCTTCCACCAACGTCGTGAATGACGGGCTCGGTTGAACAGCCAGACCGGCAGCCACTCGCCGGACCTTTTGCAGCACAAGTGCGGCTGAGTAGCCATCGATGAGGGCGTGATGAATCCGCCAGACAATGGTGCTGATGCTCCCCTGGGCAGATGCCGCTCCGCCTTTGAGGTCCAGTGTCACTACATCGTACCGATTTCCCCACATGGACTCACACTCCTGTCCCGGCGCCAGCTGGAGGAGGGAGGGAGTCTCACGCAAGGCTCGGTCGTATGCCTCACGCGAGTCCACTGTCTGCTCCTTCCAGATGAAAGGGGCCTCTGCTTGCTCAACGAGATGACTACCATCTCGCAGGTCAAGGTTGGTGCGGAAGATGGGCTCCATGGACACGACTGTATACCACGCGTGACGCAGGATGGGAACCTGCTCTGACGGGTAGGTCTCGAAGTAACTGATAATGTTCCGAGTGGGATGCCTCTGCGTGCCATGAATCAAGGCCAGTTGAATCTCTGTCAGCGGAGGTCCTGAAATGGTCTTTTTGTCAGACCTGCTATTCTGCTCGTGTGCTTGCATGGGCGTAGTGGCGGCGCAGCTATCTGGTTGCAGGACAGGCCTGGCCAGACCAATGAGTTTCTCAATATTATCACAGCCCATGATCGTTTCCACCAAAAGTGCAATGCCTTCTTGACGACAATCCGCCGACAATCGAACTGCAAGGAGCGAATTGCCTCCCATTCCGGTAAAGGTTCTCGTTGTGTCGAGGTTTGAGCATGGTATACCGAGGACTCTGGCAATGAGCTCCAGCACCCGTGACGAGAGCTGATATGATGCTTGCATTGCCTCTGATACGATGATTTCTGTACCCATTGCAGAAAAAATTTAAATTATCAGTGCACTGCAGTATGCAACAACTTCTATCGAGGTTCTCTGCCACTGATGGTGGGTTTTGTACTATACGGGGGGCAGGCAAGAACACTGCGTATGCCCAGACCCGATGTCAGCAGCCCACAGTGGCAGCAATCCATATGCGGTTCTACTGTGGGCCTTTCCACCGGTCACCGAGCATCCTTGGTCGGAGACTACGTTCATTATGTTGTTCCAGCAGCAATGACGCACCTCCTTACAGCAGCGGCAGCATGGCAGTACAGATCAACGAAGAGCAAGGTTTGTTCAAGACGGTAAAAGTTAAAAGACAGAGAGAGTACACCCTATGCCAGCTTCCCACGAGACTTGAGGTCTCGCATGGTGGCCAGTCCCGTCACCAGGTTGTCCTTGGCTTTCAAACGGTACATTGCCCGAAGCTTTGCCCCTTCCTCCCCCTCCGGACTAACCTTCCCGTACGGTATGCTGTACTCGAATGACAGATAAAGGTCCTCCGGAGACTCAGAGACACCGTGGCAAATGGTCGTAGTGACCCGGTTGCCGGTGTCTGGGACAGTACATTCGAACTGCCGTTCGGTCAGGGGAGTTGTAGGGATGAGAACAGGGAGAAGTACCTTGTGTCTGTCCACCAACGTAATTTCCTGCTCCATTCTGTCCACGGGACCTTGGCCAAAGTGTACAGTCCTGGTAAAATTGTCGCTGGAAATTGAGGGGATATCACAGGCGGAAATAGCGCTGGTGAATACCTGAGGGGAACGGGCAAGTAGGACACACCCCTGCCAGAGGTCATCGATTGATAGCTTGGGATGGCTATTGGCCCTGTTTACGGCCTCGACCCAGGTAATATTGAATGTACTCATTGTCCTTGTGGTGCTTTGCAGTTGGAACTACTCGTATCGTAATGCCTCAATTGCATAGACCTTTATACACTGGCTGTTCGGAGACCGTTGGACAGTTCTAGTGCTTGTACAACTGGACCTGTATTTCTTCTAGGGCTCAGTCCATTGCCAGTGCAGCCAGGTCGGCCCGATGGCGGCTGCCGACTTGCCCTGGCACCTCCGAGCCAGCCAGCCAGCCAGTCTGAGGAAGGTAAAAGGTAAAATAACCCCCCTTGAGCGCCCTGTTATGTGATTCCTGGTATTGAACTCTCGATCCCTCGTTCCAAAATGGAGTTCATTCAAACACTCCAAGCGCAGGTTTTGGAGGCGAATCCTCTATTAGCCAAACCCAGCGTTGTCGCTGTCTTTCTGGTCCTTGTAGCCTTCGTCGTGCTCCGATGGCGAGCCCAAAAGGGGCAAAAGGGGTCAAAGCTGGACTACCCCGTCATCGGGGGGGGAAGGCCGCCAAAGCTGAATTTCCCTGTCCTTGGGGATGTCACACAGACTGATTTCCGGCCAGCCCTTGAAGAGGGCGCAAAGAAGTATCCCAAGTCTCCCTTTGTTATAGCTACGCCCATGCACCCGACGGTCATTCTCCCTGTATCCGCAATCGACGAGATTAAGGCTCTGCCAGAAAACATTCTTTCACTTCGGTAGGTCACGACGGTTTCTTTATCGCGACCTGCAGACTAATATCTGGCTATAGGCAACACCATTACACTATCTTCCTTGGAAAGTACACCGGTTTTGGAGACCCCTGTGACGAGCTTGACACGGCAATTCGGGTAGACCTCACCCGCCATCTCGAACAGAATCTAGCGACCTTCTACGACGAGGTGGAATACGCCTACCGAAAGCATGTAGGCGACTCTACAGACTGGACTCCAGTCCCGCTCTACAGTTCTATTTTGGGAATTGTCTGTCTACTCAGCTCTCGTGTGTTTGTTGGCCTGCCACTGAGCCGAGATGAAGAATGGACCCGTACCACGATGCAGTATTCCTTGGACGCCGGGCACGAGGCTCATTCCCTCTCCCCATATCCGAGTCTCCTCCGGCCCCTCGTGGCCCCCTTTATCCTGAAGCGCCTGAGCCAGCATCGAGCCGTAGCACGGCGCATGCTCCAACCAGTTCTGGACAAAATCACCGCTGGTCACCGCGGCAACTCAGCGGCCACTGGCCAAAGTGTTGAAACGGGAGGTGACCTGATGCGGTACATTATGGGTCACTACAAGGGCAAGGCTACGCTAGAGTTGCTTGCGCGAGACCAGCTCTCTGCCACGTTTGTAGCCATGCACACGACAACCATCTGCATCACCCAGACGCTCTTCGACCTTGCCGCCCGACCAGAGTATCTTGCCCCTCTACGAGAGGAACTAGCTCAAGTCCTCGCTACAGACGGCGCCCACGATGGCCGACTTCACAAAGCATCCATGGTCAAACTACGCAAAATGGACAGCTTCGTCCGCGAAAGCCAGCGCATGAATCCCCCCGGTCTGGTATCTATGCTGCGCCGCGTGACTTCCCGCGAGGGGCTGCACTTGTCCACCGGCCATGTAATCCCGTATGGCAGCGTGGTGGGCATTTCCGCCCATGAAGTGACCCGGTCGTACCCAGACGGAGACAAATTTGACGGCTTTCGTTTCTGCAAGTTGCGCGAGCAGCCAGGCCAGGCGACGTTGCATCAGCTGGTTGCTACGGGCCCCGATCATCTCGCCTTCGGCCACGGCACGCATGGATGTCCCGGCCGGTTCTTTGCGGCGAGCGAGATCAAGGTGATCCTGGCGTATTTGCTACAGAACTATGATATTCGTCTTGAGGATGGTGCCACCAGGCCGGAGAACTTACATGTGGGGTGTACCGTGACGCCATCTTCTGATGCTAAGGTACTTTTTCGCAAGAGAACGGAGGGACTGAGCTGAGGGGTTATCTTAAACCTATCTTTCATAGAATACTTCCAGTAGCTCCAATCGAAGTGAGGCTTGTTCATTCTGCATGATTCACGGAATATTTCAGAGCAATACCTAATTGGGTTAATACTACGGATGAAGCAGTCTTGAGTTCTAGTAGACCATTTTTTTTTTGCAAAAGCCGATATCTCCTGTACCTATTCGCTTCCGCTCAAATACACCTCGATCAATCTTGTAACTGCATTGCCATAAACATTGTGTATCTGGCGAACATCCAGTTAGCCATCTATCTTTCATGCAGTCAAAAACGTAATCCTGTCCTACCTTGAATCGAGGATCGGCTGCTCGAAGAAGATTCTGGAACTGCTTCCTCGTTCTCTCCTTGGCAGAAAGCGTCACCATCATACACATATCCCCCCGTCTCAGGGTCAAATGCTGATCGCGAGACATTGCCTGCCCGTAGTCCGGTAGAACACCTTCATTGATGAGCAAAGCAGCCTTTGGTCCCGCCGCCTCCAGAGCCGGAACCAACGCCGCCAGGACCTTGACGCAGTCCTCGTCGCTGTGGTTATGCAGTGCGTGTTTGAGCAGATACGCTCGGGCATCGGTGACGGGCTGCGACTGGAAAAAGTCATGTTGTTGAAATTCCACATTATCCGCGAGCTTGTTGTCCCCTGTGTCTATTCCCGGAGGGACGAGGATATCCTGTACGACGAAGGAGAGACCAGGGAAGTGCTGTGGGTATCAGTATCTCATGGCTGCCGGATTAGATGAGAGGAGACGCTCACGTTCGCCAGGAATATAGAGACGTGGCCCATTCCACCCCCAACGTCGACAATCTTTCCACCGGCAAGGGCGGCCCAATTGTAGCAGTCACGGAGACTGATCAGGCCTTCGTCTTCCACTGTACGAGTGACACGATGTCATCAGTTTGTTCACCAGATACAGAAGAGCCACCCACAGGAAGATGCGCCCATCATGCCCCGGCCAAACCGGTCAGCCTTGCTTTTATACTTTGTGTAGAAATCGTAGATTGATACTCCAAATCTAGTGGCAAAGGGAGAGGTATTCACATCCTGAGTACGTGGGTTTTTGCGGATGGCATCGGCGGTGCTGGAAGCGGCCTGATACATCTCATCCATTCTGCACGAATAGGCCGCCAGATCAGTAATGGAATTCCTCACCGATTCAGCTATCTGCGTTCGCCTAAACTTACTGTATTCCCAGCGCCGCTCTGACAGACTCATTCTCCGCGATGAACCGGGAAAGTGGCGTATGGGCAAAAGTATCTTCCTGCGTTTCTTGGAACATGCCGTGAAGAGCCAGGAGACGCAGCACTCGGGCTACTCTGTCTTCGTCGATTCCTGCTTTTTCTGCCACCTGTGCCAGGGATAGTTCTCCATCTGCCGGAATGGCTGTGAACAGATCGAATTCCAATGCCACTTGATATGCGACCAGATCATAGTGGGTGAGCTGGAGGGTGCGCACAACCGATCGTGGGGAGGCTGTCAAAGATATCAACTCCTCTGCAGCCTGTTGGAGTTGGACGACAGACGTGCTCCATTCTGTGCTTGGGTCTGTGGCTTTACTATCGTCCCATGTCTCGACCATGGACTGGGCTATGGTCTGGATCTGGCGGACTTGCTCCAGGATCTGCGACTTGGTGACAGACATGACGGGTATAGTTTCAAAATGCAGCTGAATGGGAAGCTGTGTATTCGACTATGGCCGCGACAATTAATTGAATTCGTCTCCATATCTATTCACTACACTTTGTGCTGTATCTGTATTCGGCATCCGCCTCGGCGGCCGATTCCTTATGGTGCCTGTATGTATGCAGACAACCATGCAGGAAGAGATGGAGAACATCAATTGATTTCGTCTTGAACATCACAATGTTGGGATTTACTGGCCTGGGTCTGTTGACTCTTTCCGCTGCGCTCTACGGTTTGTATCTGCTCTGCCTGGCCATCTGGCGCCTCTACTTCCACCCTTTGGCGGGATTCCCCGGCCCCAAATTGGCGGCTCTCACGCTATGGTACGAATGCTATTTTGACGTCTTTCTGGTGAGGGATCCTTTCTGGTCAACCGTTCTTTCCCAGCTGCTAAGATTCGTCCACCGAAAGGGAGGCCAATACTTCAAGGAGATTGACCGTCTGCATTCGATCTACGGGCCCATCGTGCGCATCAGCCCGCATGAGCTTCACGTCAAGGATCCAGAGTGGTACAGCGAGCTCTATCCGCCAGGGAACCGCAAACGCGACAAATACGCCTGGTTTCTGTCGGAGGGCACCGACGCCACCAGTTCTGCTACCGTGCATCATCATGTCCATCGCCAACGCCGCTCTACACTGTCCCCCAGTTTCTCCAAACAGTCGATCCTCGGCCATGAGGCCACGCTGATTGAGCCCGCAATCTCATCAGTGTGCGAGTCTCTGGATGAGTATGCTCGCCAAGGAACCCCCGTCGTCCTGGGAACGGTCTTTGCCAGTCTTACAGTGGACGTGGTGCTGCAGATCTGGTTTGGTGCGTCACCCGGCCAGACGAGACGTTGGGATTTCTTCCCTTCGTGGACCGAAGTGCTGCCGCCGCTGCTTGGAGGGTCGCATTTCCTGCGTCACTTTCCGCAGGCGTTTCTGCTATTTGGCCTGTTGCCTTCGTCCGTCGTCAAGGGGAGGCCGGATATTGCGTTTATTTTCAATCTGCAAGAGGTTCGTTATTTTTCCCGGGGGGCAGTGGAGGTACAGACCCAGCTAAGCGTCTCAAGTCTTCTGCAAATCTAGCATCTTCCGCCATGCGATCCGAAAAGCCGTCCGTCCTGCGCACTTTGAGATCCAGCGCCCTTCCCGCCAATGAAAAAAGCGAAGACCGACTGTCTGCGGAAGGCTTTAGTTTCGTCATGGCGGCCGTGGAAAGCACCGCGCAGACCCTCGCGTCGACGCTGTACCATCTTGTGGACAATCCCCCTATCCTGCAAGAGCTGCGAGCGCAGCTGGAACAACTGCTGGAGGAGAATCAGGGTCAGTTGTCCTGGACAGCGCTCGAGCAGCTGCCGTATCTTGTATGCTCTCGAGGCCCCTCAGAAACGTTGAGATGATGAGAATTTACTAATAGAATATCTACCGCAGCGTCACATCGTCATGGAGGGAATGAGGGTCACATCCTCCGTCACGGGCCGACTAGCTCGCATTGCTCCAGATGAGGTTCTCCAGTACAAGGATTGGACTATCCCCCCTGGAACACCAGTCAGCATGGACCATCACTTCACGCATTTGGACCCCTCTATCTTTCCTAATCCTAGGCGGTTCGATCCCGGCCGGTGGGATGCCGCTGCATCGGCGGGGAATCCATTGGACCGGTATCTGCTGCCATTTGGTCGTGGGAGTCGGATGTGTATTGGTATCAAGTACGGATAACCCTTTTTGACATGATGATGATGCGTGAGTTCTGACGAGTTTCGTATCTAGTCTGGCCAGAGCTGTCATCTACCGCGCGCTGGCCGCCTTGGTACTGCGTTATGACATGGAGTTGTTCGAGACTACGAGAGAGGATGTGGATATCGTGCGGGATAATCTGATGGGCGCGGTCAAGGCAGGGTCTAACGGAGTGCGGATGAAGCTGTCAGAGAGGAAAGGGAATGGCCTAAAGCTAGATAACCCTTAGACAGTAGGAACTCAAAGCGTACATGCTATCAGACACGTCCCCATATAGATTGATCAATAAGTTCAAGTGGCACACGCCGCAAGATACGGCACCAATGGCCTCATCACAGTGCCCGGAAGAAGAGGTTCCTCCAGGTTCTTCATCTTCAGCATGATATCGAGGAAAAAGGGCAGCGAGAAACCAAACCAACAAACTGCCCACGCATGTCCCAGCCATCGATGCCATCGTCGGGGCGTTGCAGCCATTCCCGGGGCTATCCGCTGATACAGAAACTGTACGAAATCTTCCAGGGTGATAGCCGCCGCCTGTAGAAGGAAGAATTTCACAAAGCCTACACTGCGCTCGCTGAAGCTGAGGTTCATAGGCGCTGGGATGATGTAAATAGCAGCCCAGTGCATAAGGCCGCTGATGGCAAAGGATAGCCAGAGACGAATGTACGTGCGAATGGTTCCGGGTCGGAGATGCAGCAAATCACAGAAAACCCCTGTGTACACATTCACTGTCTGTTTCGCCGTCAGTTCCCGGGTTCTTTTTCGCCAAATTGAAACAATCACTGCTTACTCGTCGAATCATCTGATGCCAGTATTTCCCCCAGAAAGCCCGAACAGTCGTAACCTGCGACAGGCGGCCAAAGAACGGCGGCCAGTCGGCCGGTTGGCTGATTCCCAGCACAACCCAGAGGATGGCTCCTCCGACATATTGCAGATTCATGAACGTGTACGGAATCATTCCCACCGTCGCGGTCTGGTACAACTGACAGGCAAAGTTGGGATGCCGCGTGGTCAGCGTGCGGCTATCAACGGGGCCTCCATGGGCCGTTGTATAGAAGTTGAGGATAGCCAGGTGGCTCAACATGTCGGCCATGCAGAGCAACCGGATGAAGGTCAGCACACGATCTGCCAGAAACCGCCACTTCCCCGGACTCCTCCCCAAGGGTTCCGCTGGGATATTTGCGACCTGGTAGTTCCACCGAATGCCTCGCAGATTGAACCAAATAACAAACGCCCAGACGAGCTTGGAGAAACCGAAGGGCGCAAAGCTCATGGCCTCCTGTGCTGGGCGATCCACTCGCCAGAAACCCGCCTCTGGACCGGGACTGGGGGCAGTGAGCAGCTTTTCCAGCACGTTAAGGTAATGGGGCCATGCGAGGGAGAAGAATTGCGCCAGCTTGGGATCGTCTGTGAACCGGTTGACGTTCGCAAGGACGGCGAGGATGACGATAGCGCCTGAAAATACTGTCTTGCGGTTTCGGAAAGGTGGCGAGCTCAGCGCTGCCATCTGCACGAGAAAGAGCAGGATATGCGGCACAATGGAGCCATCGGCAGGGGTTAGCATGGCGTTGCGCTCATCGTACATTTTGGCCGAATGGAGCTTGTCGTTCGGAGTGTTCATGGCTGTAGCTTGATAGATTGGTAGATACCTCAAAGTACATCAATCCTTATAAGAATGACTCTTGGTGACTTGTAGTTCACGATATATGCCTGTGGTGGCCGGTCAGTGCAGTTCGGGGGCCGATGCGGAGAGCCGAGGTGGGAATATAAATATATTTCTATACATATTTCCATAGCACAAACACAACAAGCGGACTATCCTGTCACGACTATCATCGTCTAGTTCGAACCATTGATAATGTCTCCCTCCTCAACACCTACAGCCGACGTACTCATTGTCGGGGGAGGATATGCTGGCTTGGCTGCAGCATCCACTCTCTACCGGGCCACTCACTCTACCATCGTCTTTGACTCGGGCCTATTTCGAGACGACAAGGCACCACACGTTCGACTGCTGCCCGGCTGGGATGGTACAGAATCCTCAAAATACAGGCAAGCAGCCCGTGCAGAGCTGGAAAACACTGGTCTCTGCTCCTTCGTCAATGCGCAAGTGACCACAATTGCACAGCAGCAAGGACAGGACTACGAGTGGCGGGTGACAGGTAGCGATGGGCAAGAATACCAGGGCCGGAAGGTGGTGCTCGCAACGGGAACGGACGAGATCTATCCTGATATTCCCGGCTACAAGGACTGCTGGGTGACGGGAATCTTTCCGTGCATGTTCCAGTTCGGGTACGAAGAGCGAGGCTGCGCGTCCGCGGGGATCTTGGTCGTAGATAAATTGGCCTCGGTGCTTCCCCAGGTGGTAAAGCTGGCCGGCGATACACGCAAGTTCGCCCGCCAGGTCGTTCTTTATACCAACGGAGACGAGAAAGTGACGGCGCAGCTCCAGGAACTCACCAAGGAGGTTGACTACCTGTCGATTGAAGCTCGGAACATCCGGCGTTTACGCAAAGGGCCGAAGAGAGCGGAGGTTACGGTCGAACTGGAGGGTGGCGATGAGAGGAAAGAGGGATTTCTCGTGCATCAGCCATGGACTCAGCTGCGAGGAACTCTGCCCGCGCAGCTGGGAGTCGAGACAACGCCCATGGGCGATATCCGCGTGGAGCATCCGTTCCCGGCCACCAGCGTCCCTGGCGTCTACGCTGCTGGGGATTGTGCCTCTCCTTTCAAAAACGCTTCCATGGCCATTGCGGCAGGGGTGTGTGCGGGAAATGGTGTAGCACGCGAGCTCCCTGCAAGTATCTAAGCCGATCATGATTCTACTCTTCACTGCTAGAAATTGAACTCGTTGTTTCCTGCACATATATATCCGATAGCCCCACCAATGATGTCTAGGCATGTCCTGAAATCGCCCTGGGCCGGTACAGTTCCTCCAGATACTTCTCCTCTTCCGTGGTCAAAGTCTTCTTACAGGCCGCAGCCACCTCATCAAGCATGTTCTCCAACCGCATGCCCACCACGGGGCTGGTCACCCGCTTGTTCAGCCAGGCCAGCGCCACATCGACCATCGTCCAGCCCTTACGATCAGCCAGTTCCTCTACCCGGCGGATAATCTTGTGATCGGGGTCCTCGCTCACACCGATATACCGCGACCCATTCACCAGCTCGTCCTGCGCTCGTCCCGTGGTGCCAGACAGACTATCCTGCAATCGACGGGCCAGAAAACCACGGCACAGAGGGGCCCAGGGGATGATCCCCACCCCGGTCTGGTTGCAGAATTTGTTCATCTCGCGCTCCTCTTCACGGTAGAGCAAACTGTAGTGGTTCTCCATGCAGATAAACTTGGTCCAGCCGTGGCGTTCCGCGCAAAACTGCATCTGGACAAACTGGTACGTCCACATGGAGCTGGCCCCGAGGTAGCGCACTTTGCCTGCTCGCACGAGATCGTTGAGGGCTTCCATGGTCTCCTCATATGGGACTCTGTCATCGCCGCGGTGGATCATCAGAACATCGATGTAGTCCGTTTGCAGGCGGTCGAGACTAGCCTGGACGTTTCGAAAGATAGATTGACGAGAAAGACCTACATATCGCCGGTTAGAATGTTGCTCTCTGCACAGGGAAGAGAGATAGCATACCGGACTGATTGACGTATTCCTTCGTTCCCCTGAGAGGCCCTGCATACGCCATGGCATTATCGGCATGCTCTCCCACCGTACAGAACACTTTGGTGATGATCACCACCTTATGCCGCGGAATCTCGTACTTCCTCAGCGCCTTGCCGATGATTTTCTCGCTGTCCCCGTTTGAAAACACATTCGCCGTATCCCAGGTGTTGATGCCTCGGTCCCATGCGGCCTTGAGCATTTTCATCGACTCCTCTTCCTCCAGCACCCAGTCCCACACCCAGTCCTTCCGGCCGAACCCCATGCATCCCAGAATGGGGACGGAGACCTTGAGCCCGCTTTTGCCTAGCTGGCGGTAGGTGCATATGGTCTCGTTGACATTTTTCTGGTAGTGGAACGGGATCGCAACTTCCATCGCCATGGTGACTGGACTTACAATTGATGGTACGGTGTGTTTGAGTCGAAGGACAGACGCAGAGCAGCAGTACTTTAGTAAACGTGCAAGGTTTAAGAGTCTCATTAATCTTCGAATCCTCCTTTTTTGAGGAGGACATCGGGGTCCGAGACGGTGACCGGGCTCTTGCATACGAGACGAAGGGAATTGTCTATCTCAGAATCCTCGTCTATCCGTCATGCTATCCATGTCTCAGGCCCGTCCTCACGACCACCCCTTGCTTTCCTCGAGATCCACCGATTCCCCTTGGTTACTATCAGAAACAGGAGTGGTCGATGGAGATGCACTATCTGGGTCAATTCCAAGCGCCCGCGCCTCCGCAGTTGTAAACGTCCCAAACCGATCATCATGGTCCATCTCACCAAGCCCCCGAGGCGGAAAGACCACGTTAAGAGCGCAATGGGTTACAAAGCTGATACAGAACCCCAACACAAAGGCAATCTGGTAGAGGTGCCCCACGTCGGTTTTTAAGGTAATCCGAGGCTGCACCGCATGTATAAAGCCAGGCATGAGCGGCGCGAAGCCGACGGCCCACGCCACGAACGCGCGCCAGTTCACCCCATATACATAGTAGTATACTCCCTCGCGCTTGATGCTATAGAGATCGGAGAGCTTGATGCGCTGCCGTCGTAGGACCCAGTAATCGGCGATCTGGATTCCGCAGATGGGTCCGAAGAATACGGTGAACCCGGAGATCACCATGAGGAATATCGACGCGGTGGACAACAGTTCCCAGGGGCAGAAGGCCATTCCCAGCGCCAGTCCCAGATACGCTCCTCGCCGGATATTCAGGAAAGCCGGGAACAAACCGCAGAGGTCGATTCCCACCGAGTACGCATTATCGACTACCACCACTGCCAGTTGGCTGATGGTCAGGCCCAGTCCTGCAAATGCGGCCGCGGCTCTCGTCGAGGAGCGGTACTGGCCGTTGGTCAACCAGGTGAGAATGAGGACTGGCGGGTTCCAGATGGCTTCGCCGTAGATCTGCTGCGTGGCAGAGGACACAAGACAGCCAAATAGTGGCATGATGGTGCCGACTAGGATGAATGCCACGGCCTGTCCCCAGATCTGGTCGCGCTCTCGTCTGGCAAAGCGGGAAAAATCAGGCTGGCTCACTTTAGGGCTTTGTCAGTAGGGGGGCGCCTTGTCCCCTGTTCTCGGAAATGGTAAAGACGTACTCAAAGCTGGCGCCACTGTGCCAATTACAGCATTGATTCCTCCGAGCATTGACCAGCCCAACTGGGAAGATGTCATCGGCATACCGGGCTGGGAAAGCAACGGTCCAGCTCCATGCGCGGTGGCCAAAGCCCAGATCAGGATCGCGAGGATTGTGATCAGCGTCAGGATATTCATCACTGCCATGGCCTTTGGGGCGCGCTCAGGGCGCACGTAGATGAGCGGAACGCATAGGGCAAGGAAGACGATCCAGCTCACCAGCTGGGCCGTGGTGACATGAGAAGACTCCGGGATGGTGTTACGGAGGTGCAAATACGAGGGGAATATGGCGCTGAGCACGGCAGTAATGCATAGTCCCCCGTTCCAGGACTGCACCGCAAATCCAACAAGTCCCAAGAGAATGCGGAGGAGGATAGCGCCGTATGAACCCTGCGAGCAATCAGTTGGTGCTGTTCGTTAGGGGGCGGTTGGGATTTCTGTAACTGACTCTCATTCCCCAGACGATGCGAGAAAAGACGGGAAAGCCAATGTGCCATCGTGAACCGACTGCGCCATTTAAGATGGCAACGGTGGCAATGAGAATCCGGCCAAGGATGATGCCCACCATCGCCTGCCATACAGAGAGACCGATGGCCACCAAGGACGAGCCCAGCTGGAAGTTACTCAATCCCATCATCCAGATGGCCCACCATCCCAGGTATGTCGTACCGCTCCATCGTCGGCGAGAGGGTGGTAGTGGGCGAATGTCGTCGTTGATCCATGCATTTGCGGCCGTCACGGACGGGTCATGCAGGCGGCAGGAGGATATAACCCTGTGCAAAATGCTAGACTTCTTTTCCTCCGAAATCATATTGTCCTCCTGGTCATCAATTATATCGACAGTCTCCTTCAGTTTAGGGTTCACAGCAGACGAACAGGGATATCGCATTATAACAAGCCATGGAGATGCTATGTACGGAGCCCGAATACGAAATAGCCCTTTTTTGGCCGCTGTCGGTGGCCGATGTTAGCTATCTCACTATAATAACCTAAGCAAAAGCCGGATAAACTATTCCAACATAATAAAGAAGGTAGAATCTAGACCATACGCAAGCGCCATGGCGATTTCCTTTACAATTTGGAGTCTCAATGGCTTGATTTTTGCTGCCGAGGGTAGCATCATTGCCGGAGTAAGTATAGTAAGCTCTTCCTCCTGTCAATTACCGATTAATTTCATATAATATTTAGATCCTTTTCTTCATCGGAAAATGCATCTACAACCTCTTCTTCCACCCCCTGGCGTCATATCCAGGTCCATGGCTCGGCCGCGCCTCGCGGTTGCATTATATTTATCACCAACTGGCTGGCGATCTCCCATACAAGACTCTCGACTGGCACAACACCTACGGCGAGGTCGTCCGGGTGGCTCCAGATGAGCTGTCCTACAATTCGAGTCGCGCTTATCACGATGTCCATGGTATGGGCTTAATTCCCGGCGGCTGAAAGCATGCAACTAACCATCGGCTGCAGTATGGCGAGACAACGAGCTGCGCAGCGGTTTGGAGAAGGACAAGACATGGTATTCTCAATCAATCAATTCCGTGCCTGTCATTGTAGGTATCCATCCATCCTGTTGATTCGAGTTTGCCTTCTGAATGGCGTTGTCAGGTCACAGCAGAAAACAAAGATCACAGCCGATTGAGGGGAATCATGGTCCATGCCTTTTCCGACAGAGCACTGGCCCGTCAGGAACCACTGATCACTTCCTATGTTGAGCTTCTCATTCGCCGTCTTCGCGAGCTTTCCACCGACCAACCGATCGATATGGTTCCCTGGTTCACCAGCACGGCCATGGACGTCATTTTGGACCTGTCCTTTGGCAAGTCCGTCGGGTGTCTGGAGAACACGGTCAACGGAGAGCTGCATCCCTGGGTCCGGTTGACCAGCGGCCATGTCAAGCAGGGGTTGTATGTTCAAGCATGGCGCCGTCTGCCTGCCTTCATATCACGAAACGCTGTTGTCAATCTGGTGTTGGCTCGGATCGGACGGGTCTGGATGGAGCAGTTCCAGGTGACTACGCGAATGGCCCGCGAGCGTATCGCTGCCGGCACAGGAAGAGAAGATTTCGGTAACTCTTTCTATATATATATCCATGTAGACACAGGGAACTGATTCTGATTCCATCTCTAGTCACCCACATGCTCCGCGAAAACTCCGAAAAAGACGGCATGACAATTCCGGAGCTGGAGATCGCCTCCTCCATCTTCATGACAGCCGGCAGCGACACCAACGCCACCCTAGTTTGTGGCTGTCTCTACTATGCGCTACGGGACCCCAAGATCTGGTCCAGGCTGGCAAACGAGATTCGCGGTTCTGTCACCCAAGAATCGGAGATGACTTTCACCCGTCTTCAGAAGCTACCCTTCCTCAACGCTGTCATTGAAGAAGCTCTGCGCGTTTACGTCGTCGTCCCCACTACGTTCCCCCGGCGGACTCCCGCAAGAGGCGCCACGATCTGTGGCCGCTTTGTCCCAGGTGACTACGCCGTGGGTATGAACGGATATGCGGCCGCGCTGAGTGAGAAGAACTTTGCGCGCGCGGGCGAGTTCCATCCGGAGCGGTGGTTGGCAGAGCCTGATCCCCGATTTGGACGAGACGACAAGAAGGCGCATCAGCCGTTCTCCACGGGGCCGAGGAATTGCCTGGGGAAGAGCATGGCGTTGGCTTTTGCGAGAAGTGTAATTGCTCGACTAGTGTGGAACTTTGATGTCCAGCTGGCACCAGAGAGTCGGGATTGGGCTGCTAATCAGGATGTCTATGTTATGTTTGTCAAGACACCGTTGATGTGTTGGTTGAAGCAGAGAAACAGTACCTAGGATAGCGTCAACTAGGCTACAGCAATTTCACTGGTCAACCTTATACGCTTACGTATCATATCTAAGAGAAGAATGGCTTCACATCATCCTCGAGAGGCAATTCGTCAGCCCGTGATGCAGCCTCGTCCTCCACGGCCCGTAGAACCCGCAGAACATTGCCGCCAACCACTCCGGCCAGTTCCTTAACTCCCACCCCCCGACGGAGCAGGAGACTGATAAGATCTGGATACTTGCTGACGTCTTCCAGCCCCCTGATCCCCGCCGGCATTCCGTCAAAATCCGACCCCAGTCCGACATGCCGGTAGCCGATCAACTCGCCAATGTACTGGATATGATCGGCGACATCCTCAATGGTGGCGCGGTCCGGATCGTCGCACCGCGTGTAGGACGGGTAGAAGCTCACCATGACGACTCCATCATTCCTTTTCAGTTTCCGGAGTATGTCGTCCGGTACATTGCGCTCATGCGGGCATAACGCGTAGGCGGAGGAATGCGAGAAGATGACAGGTGCAGTTGTCACGTCCAGGGCGGCGAGCATCGTCTCGTAGCTGACGTGCGCCAGATCCACAATCATTCCCAGGCGGTTCATCTCGCCGACTAGTATGCGTCCTGCCTCAGACAGTCCGTTGTGGAGTGGTCGGGCCGGGGTGGCGCTGTCGGCGAAGGCGTTGTGGCATTCGTGTGTCAGTGTGGCATATCGCACGCCTAACCTGTGGTATAGACGGAGAATGCTGGCACTGTTGGCGATCTGGTGGAGGCCTTCGATGCCCATGACGCTGGCGATACGGGCCGGCTGATTGCTAAATGTCTCCCATACGTCTGTGCTGGAGTGGACCAGTGCCAGCATATCGGGCTCAGCACGGACTAGCCGATTAACCAGATCAATCTGTTGCAGTGTGTCTCGTTGTATCTCAAAATACGTCTCGTCTGAATACTCATTGGCTGTCTTTGGGCTGCCCGTCTGGTTGTCAGCTATGTGCTCGCTGGCGGAGGGAGGAGAAGCTCTACCATTCCACATAAACACTCCAGAATTGACCTCGCAAACGGCCCCGAACAAGACGGGGGAAATCCACCTGTCCAAAGAGTGGGCCATCGTACGTGAAGTTTTCCTGATAGATGTGATTCTGGTAGAACGCTCGGATCCAGATTGGAAAGTCATTATGCCCGTCTACACTGGTCAGCAACCACTCCACAGGTACAGGTAACAGATCTCGCTAGGGATTACCTATCAGAGGAGCCTGGCGAAGGACATCTTCTACAGTCGGTGACTGCCGTAAGCAGGCTCCGTTTGTAATGATCTGCGCCCCAAAGACAAGAGCAAGTACAACAGTTATGGCCAGCAATCTTATCCAACCTGGTCTGTGAGTCGACCGGAGAGTACGAATTTGTGATTCATTCCCGGAGATCTTTTCAGTATCCATTGCCAGCTATTGATAGTTGATGGACGTGGTAAGTACTAGACCACTATCCTCATCTACTCAGTCTACATATAACTTCAGAGGCAACACGAAGACAGCTATCCCAGCACCAGCGGACCGACCGGCCACCGAAACAGGTTACACAGGTCGAGATCCATCTGCTGCTTCGTCAAACAGAGCAAAACACCGCACCTCGATGCTTTCGCGAGGGGGCGCATCTGCAGGCGTTTCTGGGTGCTTGAACGCGGCATGCGGGCACACTGGAACAACCAAATCAGCGCTGGATGCAGCTTTCTCTGGCCAGTGCCAGTCAGTCAGTCGGAGAACGTACGCTTAGCTTCAACTCCCTCCTGATTATCCCAAATCTTAATCATGGTCACCTCATCCGTCCGTTGATGGTCCAAGTAGTACCACCGCTGCTCATCAGCGTGGCCAAACGTGACCGTCTGGCCGCGATAGTCGTCGGCTTTGTCAAGCAAATCCGTCGGATAGATCAGGTTTGGATCACAAGTGCGATAGTCCATGGTGGCGAGGGGCCAATCCTCTACGGGGCCGCGGAGAGGGCGCCAGATACTGCCATCGAGTTCGTATTAGGGCCGTAGATTCTATGCTTTGTCGCTCATCACGGGAGACTTACTTGATCATAATCACCCGGTTCTTGAGGACCTCGTTATGATCGGGGACGTTCTGCTCCAATCGGCGGAGAGCGCCTTTTGTCGATCTATGTCCACCTCTCAGTCAAGTTGCGCTCTGCTAGTCCCCTTGTTTACACTCACTGGTCACAGTGCACCTTGGGATCACAGCGTCAGTAACTCATCGTCGGCAACAGCTAAGGGACAAACGCACCATAGTTGCTGGTTGCTCCTTTCCTGTCGGATTCTCATACGTGCCCAATTCCGGACGTCGTTTGCGCGAGGTATGGTCAAAGATGATCACCCGGGAGGCACCCGTCTCCCTCTTGACGAGCTGCTCGATGTGGGAGTAGTACACCTTGCGGACTTTCTCTACGTCGTTGTCGCGGAGAAGCTGCAGTATCTCCGGCGTTGCGCCTTCCGGGTCGTCCCTGTAGGCGAACCCATGCTGGTCAAGGGTGAAGCTGTCCTTTGTCGGCCGTGCATCCGTAATCTGAACTGGACAGTCGACCCATTCGAAGTTCATGTAGTCGTATCCCGGGGGTGCATTGGTCCTGATGAAGGGTATTCCCTTGTTCTGGGACCACGGTTCGATGAACCGCATGACTGAGGTGTATGTTGCCATGGTTGTGTAGTTTGTGACCGCAAAGATACTCTTTTTTTGCTGCTCTGGATATGTATAAGTGATAGATAGGATACGTTCATGTCCATTATGGTTGCACTTATATGCTAGATACGTACATTGATCGGTCCCCGGTCACTGTCCGGCTCCCGATTGCACTGAGTGGCATGATTTCAATCAATCTGCTCCTAGCTCATCTATTCGGCAGACTTCAGCATCGCCGCCTGCTCCTGCGTCATATCATGTCCAAACGTCTTTGCTCTGGCCATGATCTCCTGGATAGCCGGGCGGGTCAGCATCCGCTCCGCCCACGCCTGAATATGCGGCCAGTCCTTGATATCCACGCCGAGGAACGTAAACATCCACGGCATGGCGAAGGGAAAGTAGGATAGATCCGCTAGGGTTGGCCGATCCGGGAGGGCAATGTAGTTCTGTCCGTCCTTCGCAAGGCGCTTATTCAAAATGTCCCATTGCTTCAGAGTGTTTTCGTGCAGTTTCGCAATGGTCTTGGGCAGCTGGACCGGGTTCTTGCGAGTCGGGTAACCACGCAGGAAGTAGAGCCAGTACTTGGCAGTGGGACTGTGCATTTTTCAGCTCCTCGTCAATGCCTGTCGTTGCCATACGAACTCACCCGATTCCCGCGGTCTGGTATGCCACCCAGGTAAAGACGGCGGCTCTCTCCGCGGCGGTGCGCCCTTTCCATTCTCCCTCGGCATCATATCGATCGGCCAAGTACTGAAGACAGGCGGTTCCCTCGAAGACATTGATCTGTTCGCCTGTTTCGGGGTCCTGGTCCTTGAGCGCGGGGACCATCCGCTCCGGGTGGATTTTGTAGGCCCATTGGGAAGTGGTGTCGATGAGCGAGAGAACGTGCGGGATCTGAAGCTCTTTTGCTAGGATCAGGGGCTTGATGTAGTTAATGTAGGAGGTTTCGTCCGCTGGAATCAGCAGGTCAGCCTTTTTCTTTCATGTCTGATCGATTGTCCTGCCTTTGATGATGTAGAGGACGACACGGTCATCAGCTGGGGCATCACCAATGATGACTTCGCCACGGTTCTGCTGGGATTGATCGGTCACAGTCTCGATTGCCATGTCTGCTCTTTATGACACGAATGGAACAACGTCTGTTTAGTTGGATGAGAGACGACTGATGTCTCCTATTACGTTGCTTGGTCTAGATTAAGTACAAGGAAGGCCCCGTCGCGTCGGTGACCGACGATGCTCGGCTCCAGACAATAGAATGGCTTACTTTTGTGAATTGGAGCGGAGTGGAATGGTGGCTACAGGACTAACACTCTAGTATACATCACGATTCTGTATCGACAGCCTTCTCTGTGTCCCTTTCTGGACTCGCCTTCAGTGTGCCCTGACTGCTCTTGGGAGGCCGCTGCAGAGCCACCAGCACTAGTCCTAGAAGTGCAAACGCCATTGCTCCCCACCACGTCGCGCGGAGCCCAGTTTCATACAGAGCGATTACTTGGTTCTTGGTCACACCTTGGAAAGATTGCACAAAGGACTTGCTAGCCCTGACATACGCTCCTCCGCCCTGCAGCATCCCGCGCTCTGACACCGGCACGTCATCCAGATGGTTGTCAACAGTCTGGTCGAAAATAATAGAAGGGATGGTCATTCCCCAGACGAGCGCAAAGCTGCGAATGAAATTAAAGAGCGCAGTCACCGCTGTCAGATCCGCCGGGTCAAACTGCGCCTGTATGGCAGGCAACAGCGTGGCGAGCAGTAGTCCGTTCCCTGCGGCAACGACAATCTGGAGCACGGCGTGGACGGCGGTCGACGAGGAGGCCGAGAGCGTGGTGAATACACCGAGGCCAACAGCCATGAGGGAAAAGGCGAGCACGTTGATGAGGATCGCCAGCGGACCGGGGAGCATGGACACCACTATACCGCCGACGATGGAGAAGACTACCATGCCGACAATCGTGGGCATGAGATCGAATCCTGCTCGCTGCGGAGAGAGTTCCAGGACAGCCTGGAAGTAAACGGTGAGGAAATAGTTGATCCACATAATGAGCATGCTCTGGATAAAATTCTGCGCCTGCAGGGAGACCGCCGAGAGCTTGCGCAGCAGTCGGAGGGGAATGAGTGGGTGTGCACAGAAGTAATGTTCATACACCGCGAATCCCACAAACCCGCAGAATCCAATCACCAGTGGTGCGACGATTCGAGCCGAGTCCCAGGGGTACATCTTTCCCCCCATCGTCAGGGGCAGCAGGATGGCGATACTGGCAGCGGGGAGCAGGAAATTACCCAGCCAGTCGAATCGGCGCGCTGTGGCTCGCAAAGAGGTCGCTGCATCTCGCTGCTCTGCCGTCCGTCGTGCAAGCATGGGAAACAAGAAGACAATGGAGGCTCCGACAATGGGCAGATTCATCCAGAAGATCCAGCGCCAGGTACTATGGTCGACGATCACTCCGCCAAAGACGGGGCCGAGCAATAGGCCCAGACACGACGTGGCCATCACCATGCCCAGCATCTTCGGCCGCTGTGGCAACGGCACGATATCGCTGATGACCAGCTCGGCCACCAGGGGAATAGCACCGCCTCCGATTCCTTGTATCAATCGTCCGACCAGAATTGTCGCCAGTGAGTGCGCGGCCCCGGCGACGGCGCTCCCGACAGCGAGGAAAACGAGGCTGCCCAGCATGATGGGTTTGCGGCCAAATACCTCGGCCAGCCAGCCCACGAGCGGTTGGAAGATGGTCGACGCCAATGTGTAGCTGTTTGTGACCCAGACGTATTGCGTCGTATCGAGCGAGCGGGAAATGCTGGGCAATGCCGTGACCACGATACTGCCTTCCATGGTCACAGCGAAGCCGCTGAGGCAGAGAGTCAGGAAAAGCACCCAGTATCGCCATCCCATGGGCTCCGGAGCAGTATCAGTTGAGTCGTTTCCCATAGGCGATGGAAGCTCATGCTTCTCATCACGAGATGCGTCGTCACTGGATGCATGGTCCGCCATGATGCTATCTCACATTCGTCGACACGATAAGGAAGAGTAACGACCAACGTGCAAGAGAGTAGAGTTTCATTTTGGAAAGAACGAAACCGGTCTGGATAGTCTCATGAGTCAAGGGAGGGGAAAAAAGGGCGCTTGAAAAGTCTCCGGGTAAGTCTCCGAAGTAGACAGGGATCGGTGACCGATCCCTGTCTGATGATCTGCACAAACTAGTCCCAGCCCGATCATATGCAGGAAGATCATGACGTGTTGTTTCTGTCTACTCATCTGTTATTGGCTATCTTATTTCCAGAGCTATGTTCATTCGGTTTGGCTATTCAGTGGTAGGACTTGGCTCCTCTCCGTAGTCCCCTCGTAGAAGCCATTCTCGAATGCACATTCACAACATATTCTACTATCCAAATGAACATAATCCGTAGGTATAAATTAAATCAGCTAGCGCTGAGCGTTTGAGACTCATACACCGTTCAGCTGAACATTGTCGGGCCGCATGTCAATAGCGCAGGGCCACGCATTCCGCAAGGGATAGATGCCCTCAATCCTCCAGCCACTCTGCTTCGCCAAATCCCTCCATGAAGCTTCTGTCCGTTCCAGCCCGTTGGCAGCGATCATCATGTTCAAGTCGGCATACCGCGAGAGACGCGAAGAGCGCCCATCCGCCCTAATGCAGTCCATAACAATGAGCCGACTTGTTGCCCCAGGAACAATGGCTTTCCGAATATTGCGCAAGATTGCCAGGGCCTCGGGGTCTCTCCAGTCATGGAGGGTCCACTTCATCGTGTAGACTCGAGACGGAGGGATGTTCTTGAAGAAGTCCCCTCCGATGAGATTCTCCTGGGGCACTCGGCCACCCAGATCGGCAAACTGCCCATCTGGAGTATGGAAGAACGGGGTGGAGTGTTCGATAACATGCGGCAGGTCGTAGATGCCGCCCTTCATTGTCGGATGTGCTCGTAGGAGCAGCGCGATCAGAGCGCCGCCGCCCCCGCCGATATCGATGATGGTTTCCTTGGCCACCTCTTCCCATGGATAGTCGGCCAGGATACCAGGTGCTTGAGCAGTGGCGCCAGCGCCCAGGGTGCGATGCAGCTGAGGCACCCAGCCTTGCTCGTTGAAGTAGGTGAACATATCCTTGTCGGTATCGTAGTTGATCTGTGCTGGCGAACGTGTGGCGTCCTTGCGTATAGATTGGGGAATTCCTCGGGCCATGTCGTAGAACTGGTTGCCGTACAGGTCCACCCAGTTATGCCATTGCATCCAGTGATCGCGCAGCAGGAGCATGGAAGTGTGATTATTTGCGTATGTCACCATAGCCGGGTCACGCTCGAAGATGCCGTTGTTCTGCAAAACATTCATGATCTGCTCCAGCCGGTCTGCACGCGCACCGCTCTCCTCGGCTAGCTTGTCTATTGTCAATGGGCCCTTGTCGCGGAGGATATCAGCGATTTTGAGCTCCACGGCTGCGCAGAGGCATTTTGTGCTCATGTAGCCTCATGTTGAATTCCAGTCAGTCGGTCGTTCTGTCAGGATTTTGGCTCTCAGCTTACCGAGGAAATGGTCAGCGAGGACAAGTGGACCAGGCTCGAGCATCTGCTCAATTGAGTGTAAAAGATCAACAGTCCTGGCCGACAGAATGCTCAGCTCCTTGTCCGGGAGCACTCCACGTTGCCGGTTATGGAGACGTGAATGCAGCTCGTCACGGAGCTTACCCCGGAGGAGATTGTGGACAGAGTCCAGATGGCCATTCAGGCTTTCCAAGACATATTCCATAACGTACGTCGGCGGAGTAATTCAGGTGCGAGACTTGCAAGCATGGCAGGGTGATCTTAGTACATCTACAGCTTTAAATATACCTCTACAGCTGGGTACAAGGGTTAAGCAGCCGTCGGGCCCCGATCCCTTCTTTGATGGACATTCTCGATCCCCGATTATACCTACACTGAAAATGCTTGTAATGAGCGATCAAATTCTTAGACCGGGCTTGATACAATGCGATTCGCTCTACTGGGCCGATGGAGGCCGCACGCCCAGGGCTAGGGCCAGCCGATTCAGACCCTCAAGCAGTACTTCTGGCTTGACTGCAAATGTGATTCGCACCCATCCCTTCTCCGACTCAATGCCATGGTAGGCCTGTCCTGCGCTTACCAACACACCTGCCGCTTTGCACCGTAGAACCAGCTCCTTCTCCTCGTCCCAGCTCGTAACTGCGTTGCCCAACCGGGCAAAAACAAAGATTCCTGCATTGGCTGGGATGTATGCGAATCCGTTTTCCTTCATCCATCCAGTGAGTGTGGAGTACGCGAGTGACAGCCTCTCCCTGTTGAGTCGCATCAACTGGGGTGTAAGAGGGGAGCACAGCAGATTCTGGGTGAAAATGGCTGCAAGTGAGGAAGTCTGTGTGTTGGACGCTAGGGACACTCCAACAATTACCTTGGGGTTATGTTGGGACACAGTGCATCCCTGTGGCATTCAATTGGAGTCAGCTGTGTCAGGCTTGCTGGGGCAAAGAACGTACCAGTCGAATTCCACTGGACCCAAAATCCTTGCTTATGCTCCAGATGACGTGTACACGATGCGGAGCGCAGTCTAATGCCACTGGATTCAGGGATAACGCCGAGACGAAGGGAGGGAGGCCCTTTGAGTCGGCAGAGTCGAATATGCTCAGAGCGTATACTTCGTCCGATATCAGGTGGAGATCATGTCTCTCGCAGAACTGCAGGCAAGCCTCGATAACCTCGCGAGGATAGCATTGTGCGAATGGATTGTGAGGGTTTGTCAGGACGAGGGCTTTTACTGGTGAAGTGGCATTTTCGATAGCCTCCTCTAACGCGACCAATAAATCCAAAGAGAAGGTCCTCGCAAAGCTGCTGCAGTTCACTGGTAGTGGTGTGACCGATGCTCGAACGCGGAATTGAAAGTCGAATCCGTCTGAAGGATAGGATATAAGTATGATTCCAGAGAAACATCGACAACGGTCTACTGTGTAGTAACTTACTCCAGTACGGTGCTGGAACGAGGACTGCGTCTCCCGGGTCGCAGATCGTGTAAAGCAATGCATCTAAACAACTGGCTGCACCCGGAGCCGTGGCAATATGTGCGGTTTGGACTGGCTCATGTGGGTCGAAATGCTCGTTCAGGAAGCTTGCGAGGCCGTCGACCATGCTGGGATCTCCAGAGAAACCATTGGGATAGGACAGATGCTGCAGCAGGATTGGTATCAGCCTTGGCTGCTAAACTGGTTATGGGACACTTCTCACGTTGGTGGTGAGGTCCGCCTGGATACTACTCTTGCAGATATCGATCAATTCGTCGCGGATCAGCCAGTTTTCGGCAGTCGATAGGTCAATATTGGGATTATCTGCGCGGGTTCTCTCAGCTACGGCGTCCTGGATCTTGGGCATGATAGCCTCGACCACCGCATGAGAGCGAACCGAGATTCCATTGTTCTGCGGCCGGACCATTGTGTAGATATTCAGATGTAGTCATTCAAATTTCAACCAAGTGCGTGCACTGGGCAGAATAGAGCACGTCAAATTCAGATATACTATATATAGCATCTCGGACCCCGCTATGCTCGGTGACCCCGGTGTCGATACCCAGGCATCGCATGCCGAGAGAATCAGTCTTTCTAGCCCCGTTTTACACAGCAAAGGTAGAAGTCTGGATGGGTAATCCAAGACTCTTGATCTCGGGTCCAATCGCCCTCTTCCCGTAACGACAGGTTATACTGCTGGAGAAGGTATACCAACGTAGCCCGAATCACGGCATCCGCCGCGTACTTGCCCATACACCTAGAAGATGGACGGACAAATCAGCAACGCCAAAAAGAGGTCACGTAGATGGAAAACTCACTGCCGAGGCCCGAAGCCGAATCTCCAGAATGAATACCTCAACTCCACATTCTTACGGTCAAGAAACCGTTCCGGACGGTAGGTCTCGTTGTCAGGAGCCCAGTAGGGACCGCGAATATTGAGAGCATAAGCATCAACAACAAAATTCGTCTTGGCCGGGATGCGGAATCCTCCGACTACCCGCTCTGTTGGTGCGGACTGGGGAACCGAGAATGCCGCGAGTGGCTTCAGACGGCTGGATTCGAGAATGCATGCTTGTAGGTAGGTTGAATGGCCTTGGAGATACTTATTCAGGCTCCCTGTTCCTGTCGCTTCGTTCATTTCCTCTCGAAGCTTCCTCTGGCAGTCCGGGTGCGCGGCCACAAACACAAGGTTCCATGAGAGGCCGCCAGTAGTGACATCCAGGTTGGCAAATAGGGCCTCATCCAGCGTTTGCAGGAGCTGATCTTCACTAATCTCCCTTCGATCGACGGCATCGTACATCTTTGCGATTGGAGCAGGTTTCTCGGCCTTTCGTGCCTGTGCCACTACGTCCCGGTTGAATTGTCGCCAGCGGCTCTGGAAATCCTTCAACTCCCGATTTGCCTGCGTAGGCAGATACCGGGACCAGCTGAACCGCGCAAGTCCACCACGGATTGCATGCTTCATGAGATTCTCCCGCAGTGGAGCGAGCCGCTTCAGCTCCTGGACCAGGTGCCACGGCAAGGGTCCGTAGAACAACTCGCAGACCACCCAGAAAGGTAGCATCTTCAGGTCATGCGCGGGGTGAATTAGTCCTCTAGCTAGGGATCCAGTGTCGTCAAGTTCCAGCTCCTGAAAGAAGGCGCGCACGATCTCTTGAATCCGGTCGGTTTGAGCCACGCACGCCGGGTGCAGGAAGGGAGGTTGGGTGACTGCTCGAACCCATTGCCACTGCGGTGGGCTGATCAGACCCACGCATTTTCCTAGTAGCTCTCCCAGTAGATATCCGGAGTTGTTATTCACCGCTTTGGTATGTCGGTCAGAATCGAAAAAGACCGGTTGGAGGTGCTCCGGGCGTGTGAGGACACTTTACATCCAACCTCAGCTCTCCTCCTTCATCTTTCTTGCGCTTGTACAAAGACTTACACCTCAGGCTTGGTTCCACTCCAAATCCGGTAGATACTTCCAAAAGCTTTCTCCCAGCGCGGACTGTTCTCAATCCCTTGTAGGAATTTGGCCGTGTCTCCTTGTCCATTAGGCCAGCGATATGCACACGAGGGTAAGTCCTTTATGCCGTCTGCGCTTTTGATGGGATAGCACCAGGACAAGTACACCTATACACGTTAATATCTGTTGCCTTTCCCTCCGGAGGAACTAACATTGATCGGTGCGGAAAGCACATTGAGTAAAGGCTGTGGGAGGATCCCCGGGTATGCCGCCTCCAGCACACCCAAGAAGAAGCCTAGAAAGGGTCCGACAACGGCCAGACCCAACGGATGGGCCAGAATCTCAGAAATCATGATACTCGCCTGAATGATCCCAGTACGGTGGTGGTAGCTCGTCTACAAAAAGTAGTTTCGGTTCCTCATCAGGGAGCTCTGGAAGAGCATTCCCTTTGCCGGCTCATCGATGGGACCGAAATTATGTCCACGAAGCTTGAAGAGATGCCGAGTGGGCTACTCGGCCTCCGAATGACTTTTATACTCTGACGTCTACCGGTATATATTGATACGTACTTAGTGACACCCCGATCACTGCGGGGCTTTGTGGAGGACAAATCCCTCTTCGGACAAATTGTACAATTTACAGTCAGTTACCCATTACCACGCCTCTCTGCCAATGCGCCAGCCAATTATGGAAACGCTCTTTGACGTCCTCATCGTCGGCGGCGGCCCGGCAGGCCTGTCCACCGCACTAGGTCTCGCCCGCCAACTTCACACGGCCGTGATCTTCGACTCCAACAAGTACCGTAACGATGCCGCAAGCCGGATGCACAATGTGACCACGTGGGACCATCAGTCTCCCGCTGACTTCCGCGCCGTGGCCAGGAGAGAATTGCTGAACCGCTACAACACCATCCAGATCCAGAACACCGAGATCAAAGAGGTCCGTCAGACCGGTAACGGCACCTTTGAGGCGATCGATGCCGCGGGCCAGGTCTGGGAGGGACGTAAATTGGTCCTCGCCGTCGGCGTCCGGGATATCCCTCCTGATATTGACGGGTATGCCGCGGCTTGGGGGCATGGAATGTAAGTCTCGCTACCTAGACGGACTGTTGTTCCATTGTAGGGATGTGCAATGACCTTGCCATAGATTTCACTGTCTTTTCTGCCATGGCTGGGAAGAACGTGGACAGGAATCGGTCGGCGTGCTCGCCATTGGCGACTGCGCTGCCATGGGCCCGGCCATGCACCTTGCTCGGATGGCACGACGGCTGTCGGAGAAGGTCACAGTGTATACGGATGGCGCCGTGGAACTGTCTCAGACGCTCGAAGAGCCCTTGAAGCGCGAGGGGTTTGAGCTCGTCACAACGCCGATTGCCAAGATCAACAAGGAATCGGGGCACGAGGGTGTCACAGTTGACCTGAACGACGGAAGTACTCGCAAGGAGGGTTTCTTGGTATGTCCTCCCGTCCTATCATGTTATGATACACCACTCATCAATCTGAAGGTCCACAAGCCCATATCAGAGGTGAACGGTCCCTTTGCTCAGCAGCTCTCTCTCCAGCTCACGCAGGGCGGCGATATCTCGGTCAAGCCTCCTTTCTACGAGACGACCAGCGTGCCAGGAGTCTTTGCTGTGGGGGACTGTGGATCAGTAGGGAAGGCTGTTGCGCAGGCCACGTCCACCGGCTTGTGGTGTGCGTCAGGTTTGGTGGCTCAACTGCAGGCGCCTGTCGCAAAAGTATGACTTCGTGGGGCATAGGTTGTTCAATTAGCTATTTTATCCCCTTTGGTATATGAGCTGTATCATCTACGGCATATAAATGCCAACTGTCGCTCATAGTCTCCATGATAGCCAATGTAGCATTCTACGTACATCAAATAGCAGTGAATCTCAATAAACCGGTAATGGAAATCTAGGAGAGAGCATTATCGGACACCGAGTGCCATCTTAGCAATAGCATTATAGCTATACAGTCTCACACTAAGGAGTAAGGACTAAGTAATTCCTGCTCCATCTGCCAGTACGATACGCTTGCCAAAAACCTGACCTGCGTTGTCCAGATCAAAGGACACAGGATAAGTCAGACGTAATTCACGTTTACTTTTTCGATTGCATGAAACCAATATGCCTATTTCTCTAGCTCAGATACTATCACAACCACCCAATCTTCTCCAGAGGTGATATCGCTAATTGTAGCTCAAGCTTCTGCTCTCCGTTTGATGCGAATCTTCTGTTCAGGATTAGGCACCAGCTGACCCTCAATGCACAGACTGGGAGGTCTCTCTGTGACATTGCCTTCCCATTCAACCAGGTAGTCTAGCATGAGACGGCAAAATACCAGCTTCACCTTGCGAACAGCGTAGAAGCGGCCCACGCAGGCATGCTTTCCGTAGCCAAATCTGCCAAGGGTCAGAGAGAATTTTTGGGAAGAGGCAGAGAATGGGCTTACGCAAGGTTCGTCTTGGTTACTGTTGCCGAATTATACAGCTGCTCGCGGGAATCAGAGGACGACTCCTTCTGACTTGCCAGGCGTGCAAATCTGAACCCATCAAACTCATATGGGTTGTCGAAGTTGGCGCTGTCGCACATAATGGCGCGCGAGGGGAAGGCAATCCGCGCGCCAACGGGCAATGTGGTTCCGTCGTGGAACTGGAAGGGCTTTCCCATGATGGTTCGTGCGGCCGTTACTAGATTTCCTAGTTTAGTTTGTCTCGAGAATGCCTTGATAAGTGTACATACCAGCGCCGTTCGGATAGAGGCGGTTTGTCTCTCGCAGGAAGCTGTCGACGAGGGGGATGTTGTTCAGCATCTTGTCGGTCCAGCCATGCTCGGCAATGGCGCTGCGGATTTCCTCCCTCATCGGCTCCAGATATTCCGGGTACGTGAGGACCTGATAGACCATTTGTGTCAGCAGCCCTCCTGGTGCGCCGCTGCCGGCCCAGAGATTCTGAAGGATCTGATGTGCCAGTCGCTCCGGTGTCCTTTCCTTGTCCGATGGTGCCAGCTCAATCGTGAATTGGACCATGTCGAATGGCTTGGGGCCGGTGGGGTCGCGCTTCATCTCATCCAGGCGCTTTTCGATCACGGGGATCAAGAGACGAATTAACTGGTTCAAGGTCCTGCGGTGAGCGAACGAGCCGATCCAAGAGACCGTCTTGCGGAATGGTCCCAGCGAGAGAGTCGAGAGCATGACGCCGTTCATGAACACGGATTCTGAGAACTTCATGGATAGCTTGATATACTCGGGATCGCGACAGATTTCCTCCCCGATCAGGATCCGACTGGTCACGCGGTGCATCAATGTTGAACAAATCTGAAGCGCATTGTACGATTTCCAATCTAGCCATTGTGTTAGGACGAAGAGAATCAGCCAGGAGTCACAAGTCACGGACCCTTTGCGTCACCCAGCTCTGCAGAGAATGTGTGGTCACATTCATCAACCAGATACGACATCGCTTTTGCTATTCATCAATCAGACGATGGCTGTTTGGCCGAGTGGGAAGGGTGGCCACAAACGTAATTGGGGATTCAGCCGTCTTTTGACCGCATCAATCATTACGTTGGTGCTGTACAGGTCTCCAACCGACGCTTGAAGATGGAAAGCCTAGAAAACCTGTTAGATTTAAGACATTTCGAGTGGAAGGCCTCAATTACATCGCTCAGGCTCTGGAAGAAACTCAGGCTATCGAAATCCGCCTTGCGAAGGTCGTCCAGATACTTGGCCGGCATGAAAAGGCAGTCAAGCCCCCACCAGTTGATGACAAAGGGCTTTTCTAGGGCTTTATTGACCTGCTAGTGTCAGTATTATACGGACGAGGCCAAAGAAGAGAGAGTATCTACCTGCAGGTAGCCCTGCTCGACAAGTTCATCAATGTGCCATCGTATCGACTTCTGCCCGGACAGCAGTGATAACATGCGAGACTTCCCCAGCCGATGCGCTTTATATATCCTCTCAGGAGAAAACAGAAGGGACAGGAAGAGGAATGACAGGAAACTCGCGGCTATGGGGAGATACACAGGTACTCTCTCTAGGACGGTTGAGGTAAAGACTGCCATGGTGTTCTGCCGGTGACGACGTGTGCTATCCTTAAATCTGTAATCAGAGAAAAAGAGAATGTGAAATCTGCCATACCCTGCATATATTTATCCTTAACATTCGTCTGAATGTCTGATGTTCCACCCAGTCAAAACCAACAGACTAAGATGTTGATCGGGGACCGATGTCAACTCCGACACGCCGAATGCACTGGGACTCGGTGATAGTCAATAAGCAGTGGTCTGATTGATCCCATATCATACTGAAACAATACTGTGAATTTCTGATCTTGGATTTATCGTTGGAAAAATGATCAAGTGTTCATAGTCCACACTTTCATCGCCATGGACAAGCTACTCCTCGACCTTGCGGTAAGTGAGCATGAAACATATCAGCCACTTCTAACCAAGACCTTAGGTGTCGGGTACAATCTCGGAATGCCTCACTTTTATCGGGTTTACTCTTTCCTTTTATGCTATCTACCGACTGCTACGGCTCATCCGGCATAGAATCGCCTACAGGGAGTTTTATCGCCTGCCTGTCTTGGGCGAGAGAGATGGTACCGACCTTCGAGCCGCCATGGAGGAGGGGACCAGGAAAGTAGGAAAGATCGAACTGATTATCCGTGTGTTCAAGAGACCAGTCCACTGACAATCGGATAGTTCCCCGATCGGCCGTTTGTCTTGTCACTTCTGGATCCCACTGTGATTCTCCCTCATCATGTCATCGACGAGGTCAAGTCACTGCCCGAGACCCGAGTCTCCATAGAGGCTAACAATCATCGCCGGTTTTTCGGGGAATATACTCTCATGGGCACCAAGTCCGACGAGCTGGTAGCTTCAGTCAAGCAGAACCTAACTCGCAATGTTGGTGCTTTAATTCCTGAACTGATAGAGGAAATCGCCCACGCCACATCCACGGTCATTGACGTTTCCCCCCGGTCGCCGAGCGTGACACTTCCGGTCTACAACACGATGCTCAGGTATATCGCGCTGCTGACCGGACGCACCGTCGTGGGACTCCCGCTTAGTCGCAGCGAAGAGTGGGTGAGCTCCTCGATCAACTATGCGGTGGAGAGTATGGAAGCTGGACATCAGCTTCGGGCCTACCCGGCTTCAATCCGTAAATGGCTGGGACCCTTCCTCCCTAGAGTCCGAAAGGTAAAAGAGCACCAGCTTTGCATTTGTCGAATGTTAGAGGGACTGCTGGTTGAACAACAGAGGTCTTTCAACCCTAAGGAGAACCTGGACAGAGAACGCGGCCGCCTAGCGTCGTGGCTCCTCCAACACTATGATTCCCCGTCCGAGGTCCCGGTGCAAGTCCTCTGTAAAGACCACATCCTAGCCTTGTTTGCTGGGATACATATTGCTACAAATGCGGTGACCCAGGTTCTCATCGATCTAGCAGCGCGACCTGAGTATCAGACGTCACTGTTGGAAGAAATCGAGTCCGTATTGGGCAAAGCAGACGAGAGACGGGATACTACATTGGCGGATATCGCCAGGATGAGCAAGCTCGACAGTTTCATCAAGGAGTCGCTCTATGTCAATCCTCCTGGCGGGGTAGGTCAGTGCTTCTTCCTTGTCTTTGCCAGCTCCGATCCCCCGTTCATGGCAATCTTCCTTTCTAGTCACCCTTATGCGTGAGACAACAGCTCCTTTGCGGCCTTCGTGTGGTCCTCTCCTGCCCAAAGGAACCTTGATCGCCTTCGCCAACAATCGCTTCGATATGTCTACCGTGCCATCACACAACCCAGACGATTTCGATGGTTTCCGTCATGCTCGACTGAGAAAATCTGGGACTGGTGAATCAAAATACCAGCTTCTTACGCCCAGCTCGGAGTCTCTGACCTGGGGGTATGGGATCCATGCATGTCCTGGACGGTTGTTTGCAGCCACGGAGATTAAACTGATCGTGATTCATCTCCTCACACGATTCCAGCTTCGGCTAGGGAGCCATAGAAACCGGCCGCCTAGTAGCTCCTATGACTTTCAGATCATGCCGGATCCAAAAGCACAGATTACATTCACGTCGAGATTGGCGCAGAAGGACTGATGGGACACAGTGAACTGGAGGATGTTTACAGTTATATAAGACAAATCAGTATTCTGAGAAGATGGTAAATTCATTACTGCAAGCTGTAAGAATGCTTTGACATTAGGAAATCCTGTGCAATCAAGCCCCCAAGACACCATTTTTTCAGAGCTCTGCACGTGTAATGGTGTCGATCATGTACCAATAATGATCATTCCACGTTCCCTCTCCTCCAAGGTTCCCATCTGTGCTGTTGATCCCGTCGATACGTTGAATGTCAGTAGTCGTAACAGGAAGCCCGTTGCCGCTTGTGATCCAGTACTCAGGAGTCAATTGACTCCATTCACGGGCCAATGGCCATTGCCATTTGAGTCGCGTAGGACCACTTGAAACGATATCCCTACAATGGGTGATGCGGTAGTTATCACCAGCCGTCTGTTCTGATACAAACTTGGCAAACTCGTAGTTCCCTACTGATGGGGCTCCGAATGTATACTGTGCATCATATCAGATGGATGATGTGTCTCAGTGGGGCTTGAAACGACGGACCAGATCAACTTCTGCTTCTTGCCGGAACAAGGCAGCTGCAACTGTTGCCAGCGCACCACCCAGACTGTGACCAGTGAAGACGATTCTATTCCACGGATACTGTTGTGCGGCGACCCGGACCCTGGGAAACACACACCCCGAAACTGCCCGAGTAGCGTCCCAGAATCCAGCATGGGCTTTGCAACCCACACAGCCCTTGATTCCAGTTACATCTGTGTGGAGCGTGTGGAAATCAGTCAACCAATTCTCGATAGACACCGATCCACGGAAGGCAAGAGCGATAGTCTTGTGCGTATGGTCAACAGCCATGTAGCCATGGGTATCACCAGGTTTGATGCTGGTCCGGTTAGCCTTGGTTAGCATGGATGGATGTTGGCAACACGTACTGCTCGAATCGACTTAGTATTACTGTGTCTGCGTCTTCGAGGTCAGGACAATGTCCAACATCGCAGTATATGGGCAATTCCTCCTCCACACCACATGTTGAAGTAATTGGAGCAGAGCCGTTGTGGTTTGCTCTGCAGTTAGCCGCAATCGCATACTGTGCCACAAGGGTAAACTCATTGACCAAAGCTTGTGAGATACCTAACATGGATATCAGCTTGACTTCGCTGATCTCGAGATCAAGGTTCATGAACCTCCATGCTCGTAAATGAATTTCCATCACCGCTTGGTCATACACAAGGCCTTAAGGCCTAAGGCTGTATGAAGGGACCTTGGTTTTTCCAGCCGGCCATCAGTCAGGATCAAAACACTAACACTTGAGCAGAGTGGGGTTCCAGGACAAGATCGTAATAATCTTCCTCAGAGACTAGAGGGGTTGAGAGCCAGCACCACGTGATCTCATATCTCCCGACTGTTCCTGCCTGGATTGCGTGTTTCTTGGCAAGCTAAACCAGACAAGGCAATAAATGGCCCCTGACTAGCATGTAAAAAGCAGAACCAGACATAGCCCCCCATCTGATGGATCAACTGCATGAACGTTGATGGTGTGGGTGTATCAATGAGAGATTAAGTATAGGTGGTGGCTCATCACAACACTCACCTCTTCATACTTCTGATTTATGGAGCTTTCATGAGAACAACCTGAAAACAATGATCATTTTCAGGTGTCATTTCATGCTGGACTGCTGTGGCCCCTGAATGTTCTCAGATGCCCTTGTGCTGGTGAATGCTGAGTATTTACTAGCCACGAATGAAATTGCTCAGTCAATGTGCCCCTCTGTAAAGCACCTAAGCTAAAGCTCCAGCAGTTCAGCCACTAAGACCGAAGACGGGGCAACCTCGAGTGCATGACCAGTAACGGAACCTAATTCTTAGCCAGTAGGTTCGTCTGAGTGGGGAGGGCTCGAAAGCCGAGCCCCTGGTGTATTATTAAACCATATAAGTTGTATTCGTCCAGATAATATCAAAATGTACATCCAGATGAATGGCCTAGCCACGTCAAGAATGAAATCGGCTTTCACGGGAACGTCACCCCCTTCCAAATGGTCGCCCAAACATGCAAAGTACTCGATCTGCTCACAGAGATGACCAATCCCTCAGTAAACATTATGTCTTCTCCGAACTCAACTCTGAGGCGATGGTCCGGCATTGGGATGTATCCCCCTGTGGGCATATGTGCCTATCGTTGATATTCGGACAAATCTGCTACTGAATGTTCTTCATCTTCAACCTGGCGATACGGCGAGATGGGATATGCTCCATTCCAACGCTGTTGATATGCTGGGGAATGTTGAACATACTCTGCAATACTGATCCTACTAGCTACATACTTATACTGCAAGCCTTTTAGCTGGGTGGTTTAGTGTAGTCAACAGGGAACCTATACTCACGTAGCATCCTGATCCTCCGGACTTTCCCCCTTTTTGTACCTGTACAGCCTGGAGAGCTCCCTGATTCGCATGGAGACAGTCTTCCCCGGTCCATCACCAGGCCGCACATTGACCATACTCTCCATAAAAGCACTATCGTCCCCAAACATCGGATCCAGATAGTGCATATTGAACAAATGCCCCGACCCCTCCCGGACAAAGACAGTCCCAGAAAACACACTCGCATTTGAATACGCGCCCGCAGGCGACGTGAACTGCAGCACTCCAATATTAGCCACGAAGTCCTGTGTGTTTGCGTAGTGTTCAATATGCCGGATTGCTCTCTCTCCTTGGATCTGTCGGCGGGGCACATTGCCAGCCGGATCGTTGTCTGGCTGCTCGTGCAGAGGCGGATTGCGGAATTGCCTCGCTGCGTTGCCGAAGGTGTATATCTCTAGTTTCTGTATCTGGGGCTCGCTGAGCTCGCCATACAGCCAGTCGATGATCGAGGACGCGACAATGCCGCCTTGCGAGTGGACGATGAGGACTACTTTCTTCGTGGTGGATGCGGCGAGAGCGGCGCGGAGCTGGGCGCGTCCTTGTCGGATGTCAGCTGTTTTGTAGTCGAGATCGCGCTGGATGAGGCATTCAACGAGATCGAGGATCACGCCTTTGCTGTAGCCACTTCTTAGCAATGCACGGTACTAGGTGGGTGTACGCACGTTGGGTTGTGGATGCCCACGATCTGCCGGCCAAAGGTGTCTGCCAGCGCGGTTAGGTTCGACTGGTGCCAGTGTTTCCTATATCGATCAGCACAGTTCTTTCTTTGCTGCTGGACAATGATATACCCGGTGGCTATTCCGTTGATAAAAAACCATGGCTCGGTTTCATCGTTGACTGGATCCCTCGTTCTTGGGATGCCGATCAGGGACCTACCCGTCGGAGGCCCATTAAGCAGCCTGACGATCACCATAGTGAAGAAGGTAAAGACTGCAATAAATGCTATATGCACGCCTGTGGGGAAGATCCAAAAGACGGCCAGAGCAATTGGTAAGGATATAAGTAGGGACGCCTGGCTAAGAATGAGGATAACATGTAAAGAAACATCACATAGATTGCGGCAACTTGGATAGAGCTCATCCAGCGGTCCGGATTTCAAAGGCAGAATAGGTAAGAAGATAGATGGCAGCAGTCTGGCTAGACGGAAAACGGAGCAGACATCCTCCCATACTAAGCGGAAAGGGTGAGCGTCTATGTCGGAGGGGATGTCGAGGAAAGGATTGCCCCGGACAGGTGAATTCGGGTTGAATGATGCCATTTGCAGTTGACTTCTTTACTTGGGGATGCTACAACACATTTATTTCGGATTTGGATGCAGCTAGGGAGATGAATCTTATAAGATCTGCTTGATCACACCAACTAGCCAACTGTCTGGTAATAGTTACATCATTGTGACAAGCACAATTTCCCCCTCCATGTAAACGTGTAATCCTACTTGAAGGAATCAAATATTACTTTCATATCTGTCGCAGTCAGCGCATAACCAGTTAAAATACGCAAATGACTTACTTTGAGGGAACGGAGTCCAGGAGGATCCATCTTCGCGCAAGTACAGCTTAAACGCACCATTCACCATCTTACTCTTCATCTCTCCGGCAGGTCCGGGAGCTCGACGGATATTTTCGAGCCGACCAAGGGCACGCAAGAGGACTGCACCGGCTGTGGTGACAATTGCCCTTCCAAGACACGCGTGAGGACCCCAGCCATGGTGGATGTATACATCCGCCGGACGGTCGAGTCGGATCTCCTCGGGGTCAGGGAACTTAGCAGGATCGCGACCAGCGGTAATAAAGTCTACAAATATGATATCTCCCTTTTTGACGGTTGTAGAGGTCGTCCCATCATTGATGGTGGCTTCGTCGACTGCAGTCCGGAGGACACCAAAAGCCGGAGTCGACAGGCGGAAACTGTACAGATCAGCACAAGCCAAAAGACCCAATTATGAGATCGTACCCCTCGAGAGCGTATTTCTTCAACTTTTCAAACGCTCCAGGATCAGCGGAGCGTGCCAGCTTTTGGATAGCCGGCCAGTGCGAGGCGTACTTCTCTGATAAGTAGAGGTCGAGCATTTGTGTCCACTACATTGTCAGTATGCCGCAGCTTAACTCGATTATCAAGACTTACACCTTGCGCTTGTGTCGCACACGCTGCTGCTGCGGTTGGAATAATGGTCCACGCGACTTCATCGACACTATTGCCCTCTCTCAGTAGCCGGTTCACAAGCTGCGGGCCATAGCTCGCTGCCCCAGCCTCGCTCCTGCCGAGCGCCTGCATGAAACGTCTGACGACGCTATCTCTGGCGTTGGAAACTGACTTGGCCATGATAGCGCCCATCCGGTGCGCCTCCGCTGCGGCTGCGATCCTATTCCTAAGAGAATCGGTGGGCTCAAGATCTAGGAAGACATAGCCGAACAACAAGGCGAGGGCATCAGAAAGCTCTCTGGGGGTATAGCCATCAGGCGAAGGGTCCTTTTTGGCCTTGAGCGGGATGCTGAAGAACTGCGAGCAGAAATGTGCGTGTGCTAGGTTTCCAACGCTACATTCGTTAGCATCCTCCTCTAGGCGATGGCGATTGCGTCAGATGGACTTACTCTCGGACAATGTCAACATGATAACAGTCGCGGAGCTTGACGCTTTTGTCATGAAGCAGGTCTGTCGTGATAGACTCGTAGAGCTTTCGCACATCCTCGAGTATAGTCTTTGGTTCGTAGAGACACTCTTTGACGAATCGCCTTTGTTCTGCATTCGCCGCAGAATCCCCACTGAGCATGTAATCATGCCCGGTAATCTGAAATGTATGTGCTCCCCCTATCGTAGGTCAGCCAATTGCGGTAGAACTGAGTGCATGGACATACAAGGAACATGGAACCGCTTCTGGTCCTCCAAAACATTCGTGGCCCCTTCCCAAGTTGTGACCGGCACAGGTGGCGGAGTATATGACGGTCGATCGAAACTCAGGTCCTTGAATTTCATATATTTGACCATAATCTCACGACTCTTCTCCGGTGTCACAAATGGATATAGTGCATAGACGCTGTTTGGCTGGTACCATCCAGGGAAGGCTCTCATCAGCAATTTGTACATCACGCCCCCGCCTGCAACGTCAAAGTCGGAGCTCGCGGCATTGAAGCTGTCCTGGTATTAGCAAAAAGCCCTTGAACGAGATTCACAACTTGCCCAAAATTAGTTAGGTTGGCTGGACTGTAGTCAACGGTGTAAAAGCGATCTCCGCGAACGAGAGCAACCGCATCGGACAGAATAGCCGCTGATATGGTGAAGCCAGGACACAGCCCGGAGCCGGGATAGAAGGGCTTTTTTGCTTCTTCGGCCTGTATGCCAACGTATAGCTCTATGTTATCGGGGTGGCCGTATAATGCCTCCACTATGATGGTTTAGCTCTATCTCGATGGTTGTATGGCAGTGACTCACATCCTTCCGCGATAGCTGGATTCGAGTTGACCTCCACTATCAAAGCTTAGCTTGTCTACAGCTGGAAATGTAAGGACTGCACTTACGGAAAGTCGAATATGGTTTCAGTTTGAAAAACACTCTGAACTCATTTAGAGTCGCCAGGTCCCATTGCCGTCCCTGTTCAATTCCGAGCATTTCAATGGCCTTCATTACCTTGGGGATGTTTCTGGCGCCAAATGCCCCTGGTAACGTCAATGCTATGCTAAATCAACCATAACTGCACTTACCAGCGATGTTTTCGCACCCTTCTGATAAGAGACGAACAAGTTCACTGTCAACGAAGCGTCCATCCTGCTGCCGTTCTAGCCCTCCAAAGGTCCACGTTGCAGGTTCGCCTGGTACATGGTCCTCGAAATATTTTCGCAACCCGTCGAGGAACTGATTCACGGATAATGTACCTAGGCATCACTTGTTAATCAATCTAACGCCCCATATCGGAGTACATACTGCTATCAACCTCCGGTCCGAAGATCCTTTGGCAGAGACTGTTCGCCCAGGCTTCATCCTGATTACTGATGGCCGCGTGCCAGCGATATATCATGTTGAACTCGGCGCTGACTTGATTCCCGACACCGCGAGGAACACCCCCTTTGTCGAAAACTTCCAGACTCTTTCTAGGGTCCAGTGTCCAGTCTGACCCGGTGGGGTTCTCATTGAGATTGAGGATTGTCCGGAGGTAGTCGTTTAGGATGATGTTGACATAGAGGCCGCACGTTATCCTGACCCAATCAGCGTTTGCAGGTACAACCAAAAGAATTCAGCATACAGTCTCCCTGTCTGGAACAGATCATTATCCCTCTTAGCCATCGCGTCGCGGTATCGTGGATCATCCTGCTTCGTCCCAGTAGGCAAACTAAATCTTCCAGCTTCGTTAATGTTGGCCAGGTCCCCGACGACCCAGTTATGGAATCGATTGAAGGCAACCAGCAATGCGCAAACACCCGGCGGCTGCGTGAGGAGACGCTTTTCTGAAAATGTATCCGGTTTGAGGAGACCGTCTGTGAAGGTCCTCACCTTGTTTTGCTGGTCCTGGTTATGCCCATACAAGGGCCCGAGATCCAGGTAGGAAGAGTTCTTTACTTTGGTGCCGTCTCGTTCGTCCGTGTGGAAGAGGTCTATTACGGTATCAGAGTGTACATGAATCAGTTATGTTTGCCATACCGTGGATGATCACTGTCGCCAGATAGAAGAGATTGCTGGATATCTTGCTTGGATGTTCCTTTGCGGGACCGTCGCGTACCAGCAGGGCTAACTGGGTTAGTAAAGTTCTTGAAGGTTTTCATGCCGATCATACTGTCAAATATAAGAGACGGATCAGGAAGCACGGCAGGCCTCGGATGCTGAGGGGTGACCGTCCGAGCATAATGGCTACCGGAAGCCCCGAGATGGGGGTACATGATGTTCTATATTTATCAGTTCATATACTTGTTATCAAGGTAGGGATGCATACATTATAGCTCCCATCCGCGGTCCGATACTTGAATTGATCCCCGAGATAAGACAAAGGAGGATGCTGGAGGTTATCCCACAGAGTGCTGACGAACGCATCCGTGATCTTCCCTCGCAATCCAGATTTGTTGGGCAAGGACGCCGTGACCTGGATAATATTTTCGATCTGCTTTTGTGAGCGACTCTTTCTCAGTGGCTAGGACGGCAGCATACCAGATAATGTCGGTCATCAACTAGACCTCCATTGAGGGCTGTGTGGCCGAGTTCTTGGATTGTCCGCACGTCGGGGATGATCCGTCCTGCTTGGCTGAGGAGATCCTGGCGCGCATCACTGAGGAACATGCGATGCTTGCCATTTTGTCCGGCAGAGTGAGAATGGGTCTCCATAGGCGGCGCCATAGATGTTGGTTCTGTCTCTCTAGAAGCAGCAATTATCAGCTGTATCTAAAATGACATTGATACTAGTTGACCTGCACTAAGTACTTTCTATCCAACGACACGGTTCTTCCACCGATATTTATTAGCAGTGCTTCTGCTGCACATTACCGTCTACCGGCCACTTTGTATGACCGCTCCGCAATTGAGTTCCAGTATGACGCGCACTTGCGCAATGCCGAACGCTTTCATCCACCTTTCTTATCATCAGCAGAGAACAGCTTTGTCAGTAGTCCTTGATGGAATAAGATTCAGTATGATATCTAAGATAAATAGAGAAATAGTTCATATAGATGGCCCAGCGTGCCCTTCTGCCTCCATTGCTCTGGCATTATCTTATTCGAATAGGCGGTCGCTCATATTTCAGCTTTGTTGCGCGAAGATGTGTATCACGTCATGGGAGCAGACAATTTAGGATTTCACTACCCAAGACTTTTGACAGGGAGGAAAGGAAGTTAATCTATGATTGTTACGTCAAGTTACCTGCAAGCGGCTTAACTGTCAGAACTGATTTCGGCTGCAGTTTACATTAGGTTTGAACTACCTGAGACTAGACTGGTTTACCCAATCCACAAACCCATATCCAATCCACCCAATCCGCAATTTGGGTTGGATCTAGGTAGGCCTGATCCAACCCATGTGGATATGGGTTGAACCTGCCTGATCTATATAGATATAGGTTAAACCATTGGGTGCACATGACCAAGGGCTATTAAGAGCTGATAAGCTTATCTAGAGATATCTAGGCCTATATAGGCATTTATTTTTTTATATATAGATATCTTAGTGATGTGGCTAGAATACTAGAAAAATTGTAAGGATCTACTTGACAGGGTAGATAGCCTGTTGACTAAGTAAGAACTAGTAACGATATAATAGGATATCAGTATAATAGAATAGTATGAAAGGTAGATCATATTAAAACAAGACTAATCCTTGTCTTCCATAATAGTGAAAGACAAAGGGGCATCCCTATATACCCAAGTATTCCTCGATAAGGTTACGGATATGATGCGTGGATGATATTGATGCTGGAACGATGACCTATATACAGGAGATCATACCACTACCCGGGCGATCCGGCTTAAGACTGTGGTCCAGACTCAATCCATTACAAAAATAGTAGTAATCTGGATACTAGAGATCACCTAACTAGGTAGTATGGATATATCCATTATCCACAATCCAATCCGCATGGATATGAGGGTGGATGAGATAGGTAGTGGATCAACCCATATCCAACCCACTACCAGTCTACCTGAGACATAAGGTCCAAGGGGCTCTGAGATGAGCTTTATTCTTTCACCATAGCCTAGACAAGCCGGACAGCTGATTATTTTCATCAGCAGACATTACTCTATTTAAACAAATCTATTATTAGAAACCCGTAAGTGTCCTGGCAATACTAGTATTGCGTTTAAATCATGTACTAGCAGAGAGGATCGTCTTCAACCCTTACACTGGTTAGGCGTCCCCATCGTTTGTAGAGGGAGGAGCTGGATCCCTAGTGGAAAAGGGTGTTACCCAGTAAGGCTTTCAGATTGTGTTTGAAAAAGAAATTGGCTCAAGCGTCTGACTTGGAACGGAATATGTAAATATGAATGGTCCAGTTATTGCCCGTTTACGCTCTCCATTATGAGCAATAAGACTAAAAAAACAACAGGCGTTCTCAATTCTGCGCCGTAGACATGGCTACCTTATCAAGCATCTCGTCGCTCAAAGGCAAGCTTTCGTCGGCCATGCGATGCATCGACCGACCGAGATCCCCTGCGGATCCAGATCGAGGGAGCTGAAGAGTGGGGCAATCTGAATCTTTCAATAAGACCATTAAATCACATGAGAGAGACAATGAGACGAAATGCCCCAAAGAGGTAAGCGGTACATTACGACTTAACCTCTATGTTCAGAAGGTCGTATTCGTGTCCAGGCGCCATGACAACTGCGGTAACACAGCCACTGTCGACGTGGCGGTGATTTGGTCTGAACTGACCCCTGTCTCTGTTCGCAGGACGTATAAGGACAAATCAGGCGCCAAATTCCCTACTCCATGATTTCCTGTTATCCCAGAACTCGACTTATTTCCAAGATCAAAACAAGACTCTGGAATCAGAATGGCTTCGCTGCAGCTCTCTCCCGTCCCAAAACCGGTCGCTATCTTCGACCAGTTCATCGCTCAACAGACTGAGACGTTAGCTCTGAAGGAGAAGGTCTTATCCCTCTCTGGGGATAGTTTCGATGTGAAACTCGCAAATGGCCAGCCCATATTCCAGATTAAAGCCAAGCTTATGAGCATCTCTGGTCGCAAGTCTGTCTTTGATATGGCGGGCAATCACCTGTTCGATATTGTCAAGGAACATCTGCATATCCATACTACTTTCGCGGCTGAGGATCCCCATGGAAAGAAACTACTCGAAGTCAAGAGCAGCTTTTCATGCATGTGAACCTTTTGGTCTCTTTACAGTGTCATTGCTAACTGGCATGTGTACAGTGGTGGGCTCTAAAACAACTGCGACATTTACGTCGCCCAGGACTGGCAGCACGGAAACATTGAAAATGAAGGGTAACTGGTTGGATAGTAAGGTTGACATTGTTGATGAAGCCACGGGTGTGGTAGTGGCCCGGATCGATCGCAAGCTGTGGCGAGGTCGTGAGGTATTCTTCGACCAGCAGACCTATGCTGTTACAGTAGCACCTGGGGTTGACCTGGCGCTGATCGCTGCCCTGTGTGTCTGCTTCGACGAGAAGAATAATGAGAAATAGATTGAACTGGGCTAATGAAGATCTTCCGCGCGGTGAATTGATTCGTGCCTCCTCCCTTGCTATTGTCAGCATCTGCTTGTATATTCAGCCACTTTCACGCCATTGATATTCCCAGGTCGCAATCATAATTCTACGGCAGCGATCTGAACTTCGTCCTTTGCTAAGGCTTTCGTGTCTCTTATATATGCAACGGTTAGAACGCTTCCGTGTCTGGATCAAAAGTCTCCGACACTGTAGCAGCCACAGTGGATTGGATTTTCCGATATGTCAGGGAAGAATTCTTCAGCGGTTCGCCCGGTATTTTTCCATACTTTATACAATCCTGAGAGCTACCCCAAGAACCCCGAGCTATTGTAATCTCTGTTGTGCTGGATTTCCGGTCCCCCTTTGACACATTCCGTATGAAACGGTCGTACATTGCAATGTCGAACTCCTAGCATCTTCTTTCCCCCTGGTTACTCTCTAAGGTTCTATGATTTAACTTATGTGCCTACTTAAGAAACCCGTCTCACACCCATACTTAACGACCCATATCATCATATGATGGTACTCCCCAAGCGCCCTAGAACATAGCTAGTACTTCTTTCTACACAGGCTACTTGGCCTATGGACATCACAGGTAGTATTGTGGTGAGTTTAACCTAATATGAGGCAGTTATATGCGGAACAAACTAAGCTGTGACTGGCTAGCCAGACTCTGTTAATAGAACCCTGATATCAAGCCTCAGCGGCAGTTTTCCTATGACTATATCTTTCAAAGAGTAGTTACTAAGTAGATGCCATAGAGTAACTCAAGGCACCAGTTAGTATCTCGTTCAGTTCAAATAGACATTTGGCTTGATGCCAGTGAGAGTTACCATCTGTCATAGCGCTTGCTAGTTCACAGACAGCTTTCCAAAGGGCAAAGGTCCTCCATCGCCCCGCTGTTGGCAGCACTGGTCACCAGCATGTAGAATCGAGCAAGGGAAGTGATCGGGCAGTGTCCGACGCCTCGATAGGACGAGACATTCGTAGCCGGACGCTTCCACCATGCATCCACCACCTTGATCGTTTTGGGGTGAAATAATTCCCAGTCTTGTCTTATGTCTTCAGGGAAGGAAAGATCCGCTAGCATAGACATGGTAGGTTTGTCAAGCACGAGGCACTCGTAATTGCGAGCCGGTGCTCGGATCCAGTCGTTTTCATTGAGCTGCTGTAACGTCCGCAGTTACGCTTGAAACTCCTCGCGAATGCGATCGTCTGATGCACCGGACAAGGTCTCTTCATCTTCCACGACACTGAGTTTGAAGCGGTGACATGCCTCGTCCGTGTAGGCAGTTATAGACTGCGCTCGGCTATTGCGGCGAGTCACTTCAATGAGATGATCCATGGCCTGGGGAATCTTGTCTAGCACGTTGGCTGAATAATCAGTGACGAATGCATAGAAGCCCCATGTTGGGTCACGGCCTCTCATCTCTCCTGCTTCGTTATAATCGAATTCGTGTAGTTCGATTTCTTTGAGCAAATCCCAGATGTCATCCTGTAGCGATGCGAAGAGTTGTGCGTCCATCGGATTCACATATGTAGCAGGGTCTGCATCTTGGCGCACATCCTCAAGAGGCTGAACAAGCTCGTTGATATTCGGTACAGCATCAGGCCCAAAAGATCGGCATGTGAAATTGCGGGTTCTCGGGACTGGGCGTGTACGAAGAGTAGGGTCTGGCGGAGTGGTAGGGCGCTGACTAGCAGGCGGTCTTGCACGAGTAGACATGGAGAGTAACTTGATACAGTGTGGAAAAAGATGCTCAGTGGACTGGCTTGGGAGGGACCCATGTCTTATAAATAGTTCTGGTCTAGTCACCTGATTCGGAGCTCCAATCTACAGTTTGTCGCGGAGAACATATGACAGCAGAGTCAGGCTTAATCCTGGAAATTATATGCCCCAGTCTTCTTTGCGAGCCACATGTTGTCAGTCAACGTTCTGTCATCGTGAGCCCAACCCTGTAAATCTTGTTGCAACCAAAGATATACAACCAATTGTCTACCCAGGCTATATTCACTGCAACATCATCAGAATCAACATTAATGCGCCTAAGAAGTGTGCTTTGATGGTTATAAACATCCACTGATCCTGTCACTGTGCCATACACCCGACCATCCCTGTCTGTTTCTATCCCGTTGGGGAAGCCAGAGTCCGCGTATGTGAAGATCTTGCGGTTTAATATTCCAGACGGACTTACATCGCAGACATAAATTGTCTGAGCGCCATGCAGGTCGGACATGGAGAATCCACGATTGGTAACATATAACTTGCTCTGATCGTTGTCAAAAGCAAGGCCGTTCGGGTTGACCAATGCACCCTCCGCTGCTCCAGCATAGATTCCCGGTGCTCATGTCCCAGAGGTAGACGCCGTTGGCTAGCTGGGGGGAGAGGGTATCATTGAAATCGCCCCAGCCGTAATTCCCATCGGTGAAGAAGGCGATGCCCTCGTCTGAGACCGCGATATCATTCATGGAGTTGAAGCGATGGCCGTAGAAGTTATTCTGCACGACCTCGGTGAGCGTTTTCGGGTCCATCTTCACGACGCTACTCGGCGTGGTGATGTTGCCTTCTTGTGCCCAATAAACCAATCCATTGAACAGGTAAGCTCCATTGGCGATGGTGAGGGGTGGGTCAGGATAGACCTTGCTGGTCTATGTACCGGACAGGACGAAGGCGGACCTGGGACCAAACGGCTGGGAGAAGTATACTGCTGGAGAAGTTTTGGCACTGTCAGTGAATGGAGATCATCTTGATCTGCCCATGCCTGGACATGTTCACTTGCTTCATCAGCAGATGGAGAAGGTATTTGCTTATTTTGAGGGATCAAGTGGATTTACACCTACGCTAGAAACCCGGGAAAGTGACGAAAAAAGCATAGTGGATAGAGGCACACTAATAGTGTATCTGAGCAGAACAGCGCTTCTATAGACAGTGGGTCCTTCCGTTAAAGCGAGGACAACTGGTGTTATATAGATAAAAAGTCTATCGATTCTGGGGGTGTCCGGATAGACATCCTTTTAAATCTCCCACTATCATGGCGAGTCTGTTGATGGCATTAATCTGGATGAAAATGAGTGTTTCACCAGTGGATGTGACGTCAGGGTTGGACAGAAGACGTTGGCGCATTCAGGCGTGTTTAAGGGCAGCCATCCCTTGCTAATGCTCACTTTTACTCCTCGCTGCTGGACTGTCGTGAACCACAAATATAATACCAGAGGGGAGTAGGATTGGGGGAGTATGACTGATGTGGAATGAAGATTTGTTGGCGGGCTGCAATGGACATCCACAGCATCAATGCAGTCCGAAGAACGGCTCACTCGTTAAACCATACAATCTCCCCGTTGCTTTTACCAAATGATGCGGTTCCTGTCCCACTGCCAGACAGCAACTACACAAATAGCAGGCATTGAAACCCACGCGCATTAAGTCTTCACAGCAACGACCAAAAATTCTGCTTCCTCTGCTTGGGGAATCCCAATCTTCCCCTACAGAACCGGAGTGTGGAACAGCATCTGGTTCACTCACAAGGCATTTTATAAATGCATGTGAAACCCCCTTGGCTGACCCAAGGGGTTGAGAGTGTAATGCCTATGAGAGGTGAAATACTATAGATAGTTGACCTTCCTGAACATGTGGAGGTTACTCAGGGCACAGTTGTGCAAGGTCGCTCTCAGCAGAGATTAGTAGATGAATCTCCAGTCGATTATGACGAACCATTGATTGCTCGACCTATGAATACAGTAGGGAACTAAGTAGACCTGTTTTCGAGGAAGCGGGGTATCTCAGATAAGGAAGTATCTCGTGGAGAAGAGAAGATCTTGTCCTGAAATTATTACGTAGTCGCTGATTTCAATTCTCAGAGCTATGAACACCTGTCGATGTCAGCTTTGAGAAGGTACGAAGTAGTCAAACCAAGCAGGGCACCTCATTTATCTCATTGGACATCATGAGATGCAACCATCTGCAATCCACGCATTCCACCCCCATCCCGAGGATGCCTCGCATACATCAAAGCTTAGCCGCCTATCATTCTGCATGTCTCACAGGAAACCTTCATCGCAGCCACGAACCGGCCCCCAAAGTTAGGCAACCATATACTGTAGAATATTTCTAGAGAACAAGCCAGTCCGAATCAATTCTGAACCTAGTCGGCAGTACGAACTCATACTCCCCCATGCTAAACTCTTGAATCCAACCACATTCGTTGTCGTGGCTACTGTAGTAATCGGCTGCATCTCTGGGGCGGCTTTTAGTTTTAGATGGAGGCTTTTGGACAGCCTGACACACGTCCGTCCACCTGGACGACTGGCTGGTACGGCAAGCCATTGGAACAAAACCAAAATAACATATTCTGGATTTCCCAAGTATGTACACTGCTGCTAATTCTACCCGCATGAGATTAGGTATTTCTCTCCCCCTTAATTATCTTATCTACACTTTGACCTTAACCTTTCTATCCATATAATAAGGCTAAGCTGATTAATCTCTATCAAAACAGTGCCCTTACCTAATCTCTCCAGACATTCTGTAAAGAATCCACGAGACAGAGTAGATGAGCCTGTCGACTAGGTAAGAATTGGTAACGATGAAGGACTGGATAGTGGACTAGTATGGGAACATAATGTAATAGTATCAAGTAGTAGATCACTAGATAACAAGACAAATCCTTGTCTTCCTAAATGTTCGACAAGGGGGTCTACATATATCTTTGTCGACCATCCAAGATGGTCTGGTTCAGAAACGGGCCAAGGACACAAAAGCAGTCATCCCAAAACAAATAGTAAGCAAGGGGTAATAATATAACAATGCAACCATTTGTTGCAAAATCAGTCGCAGTGTAGCCATTCACGGACTAGCAACTAGGGTAAGAAGTCAATAAGATTTTATGAACTTAGTCTTGCCCCTAGAGTGTAAGAAATTAATAGGATCTAAAGAACTAGTTCACCCTTAAAGGATGAGAACTAGTAGGAAACTTAGGAATTTAGAGAACTAGTTTCACCCACAGACGGTGAGAAGTTAATAGGATATTTAGAGAGTTAGTTTCGCCCCTGGAGGGTGAGGAATTAACAGGACTAGAATAACTAGTTTCACCCTAAAAGGGTGAGAAGTTATCATAGGAGTATCGTTTTCATCCCCAGACAGCCACCCAACCTGTTGGAAAACCTGGCCCCAACCCTGTCCCTGTTTGGTCAACCAATACTCCACATTGCGTAGCCTTCAAGAGGGACTGGGTCAGAAATTGGCGTGGCCAAAACACCTGTAATATTTATACTATGACCCTTCTTAGTGATAAAATTGAGGGTTATAGTCTCAGGCCCAATCGTTGCGGCCAAGGTATCAGTGGTGCCTGTCAAGTCTTCCAGATCCTCATAGGTTAACTCTGCCGTGAGCACACTAAACGGTATGGGTGGTGCTATTGTCCCAACAACTGAGATGTCCAAGCCTTGGGAATTGAAACGACCCCCAAAGCTGGGCCCGCTTCCATTGATATGACCTTCTCCTACACCAAATCCACTCATCTATTTGAGAGGTTAGAGGGGGGTTTCAGTTAAAAAAACATAAATTAACAACAAACTAACAAGAAGAGGTCCTGGCCGTGTGCAGGGTGGAAAATATCTTAGTATGCTCTTAGTCTCTTTGTCAAGATGTAATCTGGAAGTGAAGAAGATCAGGACTTAAAAAGAAGAATGATAATCAGGCGGTGTTTCTATAGAATGAAACAGCTGGCTTTATTTATGACGCGTCCGCGGACCTCGCCATAACCCGCAAACAGCTTGGAGTTGCCACCGGTCACCCTAACCGGGGTTGCCCACAAATAAGCCGAATTTTACACCCCAAAGTTTGGAAGCTTTATTTGAAAAGTCTAACTATGTGAAAATTCATGCCTAGTATACTCAATATGCTGAGTCCCGTCCAATCAAAAGCGTTGAATACTAGAATGTAAACAAAGATTTCTCCTAGACGCGTTGCCATATAAATTACTAGGGGGCTGCGTCAGCCGGATACAGCCAAGCTTACTAGCGGCGGTCAAAACTTTTGGTGCACGCCTCCGTACATGCTGAGGGGTTGATTCCTCAGGGGTTGACATAGCTAGTGGCCAAGCCACTAGCGGATTATGTGATCCTATAGTTTTGTATCAATAGTAATTGGTTTCAAGTCCACTATGTGTACTATGAGAGGCTTTCCATGACCACAGGATCTGCCTGGCTTAGGACTAATGGTATCCTTTAAAATGACATAGGTGAGGTTATGAGGTGTATAGCTATACACCTACTAAGCTGGCTACTATAAGAGACTTTCTGCAGGATTGGCTTGCTCCTTGGTAATAGCAGTTGGTTTCAAGTCTACTATATGTAGGATAGAAGTATGATATTAGGATCAGGGTGCTCATCCAGCTTCAATATATCATGGCCCTTATAGGTTGTGTTTCACTCATACTCAATCCTTTAGAAAGTTAAATGCAATAGCAGACAGCAATGCAGCAGCAATAGAGAGTACATCCCCTGAGACCTTACTAAACTAATAAGTTGGTTTTTTAAATTAGCTTTAACTTTAATTCTATCCGTGCCAGGCGCACCCACACCACCTCCGTGGTGTGGTTCCCAGTGTGGGTGCGCTGCTAAGGCACAGATATAAAGGATGCTGCATTCCCCCTTTAAAATAATATTCAACTACTTCATCTCTATTAACTAACAACAAGACTTTTTCTTTTAATCTATACTATGCACTTTATTAATTTGCTAGTCCTTGCTTTTTCAGCTTTGAGCTACTTTGCTCTTAATGTCGTTGCAGACTCTGACTATGAAGCAACCTGCATTAATATTACAATACTTCAGAATGATGGCTTTGGGCCTGTGGTCCTTCGTGCTGAATGCGCACCCAGAGGTTCTCGGAAAGTCATAAAATACGTGCCCGCAGAGCTTGATCTGGATTTATGTTTTGCCTATAAAGAGGATGATAAACTCATTGGCCAGCTTAAGTAAGGTCTCTCCTTTACTATCTATAATTATATCTCTATACCTCTTTAGTCTTTACTCCCTCTTCACCCAGTTACCTGCTTCTTTTACTATATTTCTTAACTTGATCTCTCTTGCTAACATATATCTATAGTGGTGGATTTAGTCAACACTGTAATAACACATATATAAGTGGCAAAACTGAGCTCCATGCCACTTGTGGAAATGGTCGCCTTAATTTCTTTCCTGCAATTGATACAAGTTAGTTTCTATATCAATCACCAGTACTAGTATGGCTATTGACAATAGTGAACAGTGAAATACATCTCAAATGATGATGGGGTACTGAAATGTTTTGGTCAGACTCGGCATGTCTCTTGATTGATTGATTGATTGATTGATTGATTGATTCCTTACTCCGTTTCGGCTCCAGGCTGGGCCATGCCGGAGGCTCCTAGTGAGCAGTGACTATCTAACCAGCGGCCATCCTTACGGACTGGCACCGTTAGCATACATATATATATATCTTAGGCACCTAGGCTAGGCCGAACCCCTATAGATTCCCTTATAAATTCCCTCATAGATTCCCTCATAGATTCCCCTGTTTTAGCCCTAGCCAAAATTAGTGAGTGCTGCTACCTTAATACCCTATCCTTCCATCTTAGCCAGGGCTAAAATCACTAGCTGTCCTGCTTCCCTGTGTATGCCCCCATGCCTGCCTAGGTGCCTATATAGGCCTACTTCCCCCTAAGATAGCTGCTAACTTGTTTAGAATGCTGCAGATTCCTAAGCCTATAAGGGTTCCAGGGGCGTCATCACTAAATAGAGCTG